AGCGCATATTTTCTATATAAGTATTTAAAGTTGTATGTGATCATTTAATTAGTGAATATTGATATGCAATATCAAGACTAAATGCTAATTAAGTAAAACTAAATTAGTTATTAATATGTTTATGTTTACATGTACAATAGTATTACGGATATTTTTTATATTTTGTATAATTGTTTTTATAACTTTTTTCTCAATGTTTTATCGGAAATTTATGTAAGAAAGAAAGCTGTTATTAAATTTTTCATATATAGTTACCACCACTACCAAATACCAATGATCTTTCCAACTCTGTTAAGTCATCATGGAATAAAGGAATCATAGCAAGCACAAAATTCCTGTCTGAGACTCCAAGCCATGTGACCAATGGTATACAAAGTATCTCCAAAACTGTGCGAGATTATGTAGACCAACAAAATGCACCTCAAAAAAATCAATAGTAATTCTTAATTTGTATTCTGCGAATTTTAGGTGAGATATAATAATATTATTGAATATTATTAATCTGTTATTAGTTTTACTCCTACCATATTAATTTATATCTATATATTGTTGACTGTCTTATATTGAGCTTTTCTTATTAAATTATATATCCAATAAATATTTTGTTATGAGATGGTTAAATAATAGTTTTAATTTCAAGATGCTAACGGCTATTAATAGATGTTAATAGTTGGTATTTTATACTTAATTTAGCTATATTAATAATATTCATCTATTACATTTATGAAATGATTTCGATATATTTATAATAACGATAATAATTTTAACAAATTGCATAGGAATATATAATTAAGATATGATTGGTAAGTTTTTTACATATATGAATGTTTATTCCCTCTTAAATGTTATACAAACTCGCCAACAGCGTTTCTCGTTCGACATTTACACGCTTAACACTTACGTTAACAAAATATCTCAATTCCACAAAATTTAAAATGATACGTCAAATTCCTATCGTACTGTCAAACGGATATAAAAAGAAAAATGAAAAGGATCGCAAAAGATTGAAACTGCAACTAAATGCGAAAGTACTATCACGAATGCACTGGTCCCGAAAAGAGCGCTTCACTTTGCATAATCATATTATGCAACGCACTTAATTGTAATATAACCATAGCAAACGATGGTCTAGTGGTAAAAGGAACATAAAAATTATAAAAGTAATATAAAAATGTGCGATAATGAGTTAAACGCATTTGCGAAAGCCCGTTAAATGCCGATACAGGAATCTCATGGCGTTAAAAATAATTTTTTTTTTTTCGTTTTTAACAACAATATAGTAATCTCTTGTGAGGTGGCTTCAGCATACAAAATCGAGCTTTCTTAATCCTCTAACCGATACTCGTGCGAGTCCTGCTCGTCTCATTTTCAGAAACGGATCTAGCTCGTTAGCGTTTCACTAATTTTGCAAATTTGTTTTAAGTTTTTACACAAACTTTCTTGAAATTCAACAAATTTTATCGGAACAAAAACTTTTACGTATCTCTTTAAAAAAAAAAGGATCTCGATCATCGGTTAAAGAATTAAGGATTGAGCAAAACAAATGCGTTACTGCGCATAGTCTAAGCTCTTCGATTGACTCCATAAAAACTCTTTTAAGTACGCTTATGTGTATATATACCTTATTTCCCTTATATATATTTATATATAATTATAATCTTTTTTTCTTGTAAACTCAACGGATGACTCTGTAGACCGAGGTCTACCAGCTCGGTGCATGATACACGAAGTTTGGTTCACTTTCTGGGCTGTTGAATGATGATGGGACGCGAACAATGCGCCGGTCGTGCGTCGTGCGTCGGCGTGGGCTTCTCGTGGAAGTGTTGCACAGCTTCTGGCGGAAAATCGGCGTTTCCTTTGGCCGGGGCACCACTGATCATTATAGTCTTCGGCGGGCTGCAATAATCAATTCCTTTTTCCGTTTATATATAATTTAAAACACGATAGCACGATATTGTGTTCGAAACATTTTGTTTTGTCTTCTCGATATTCGACACAATGAAGTATCGGTAAACATCGTTTTTGTTACTGAATAAACGTAAAGGTATGCGCTCTATGAAGCAAGATGCTATTTCTGTGTGCGATACGCTATCGTTATCAATTGATTATATATATATAGTATCGTTACATATTAGAAACTTAATTGAAAAACAAGTTTGTATCTTTATTTATACTTTTTTAGTGTGCAAAATTGGAGAAAATTGTAATTTTTATTATTGAAAAATGTGAGATTTTATTACGCAGTATTAGCATCAATTTTTGGGGGACGGGGAGATCTTATCTAATCTTTTGCAGTGCTTCATATAATTGGATTAATTCTCACCGTGTAAATATTTTTCAAATGTAACCTGCATTTATTTTCGATTGCGCAACATTGTGTTATATAAATGCAGAACGTCAATAATTTCGCTTATCGTCAGATTTGTAGTCGAACAGGAATGCCTTAATCGACAAAGGCACGTAAGTTTTACATCTTGCAATTTCTTTATCTTGTATTTAAAAATATAAAAGTGTTAATGAAAAAGATTTGAGACATCGCGAACGAGAGAACGTTTATAATCGTGGAAGCTAAAGAGCATCATAATTATGTAAATCAAAAGAAGAATAGTAATAAAAACCATTATAAAAAATAATATAATAAAATATATAAAAACTATTCAATCAAATTATAAAAAAATATAAGCAAATTATATAAAAAATATCGAAGACAATTTTACTAATTAATAACAATAACGTTTCATTTACTCTTATTTGGAATTATTTTTGTTTAGAAGAAAAAATCGCAATAACTTAACAATGACATTGAAAAAAATCTCAATATCTTTCATAATCACATCGAGTAACAGATGGTACAACTTTTAATAATTAATGATAAGATATTAAACTACATGGAAATTAAACCCTGTTAGAATATTAGAATATTAGATTACATTGACTAATTGATTTTAAATATTAAATTCGCAAGCAATTCTTATATATATATAATTTTGTGAACGGCCGAATAGTTTGAAATTTTCCGTCACACACATGGCCCCTCTCCGTTCTTTTTAAATCCGACGTACGTGACTCGGTGCCGTCATCTGCGGCCAGCTGCCGTGCCGGAGGGGGTCCTGATTTTGATTACCCGTCGCAAAAATGGATAATTGCAAAGTTTGACCGCGACGAAAAGGCCAATGTTTTGTTGCGGTCAAATTACGTCGCAATAACTGACTACAATTGACTATATCTTACCTGCTGGATGGTTTGCTCTCCTCAACGTCCTTGCTTGGCTTCGTCTCACGCTCATCCTTAGGCGTTTTATGCTGCGTTATCCTCATGCCGCCTGCTTTCACTGAAAGAGGCAAAATCGCGCGACAAGCGCAGCATAGCATTAGAAATTGCTTGGGCGAAAGACCGGTTCCCAAATCAACACGCATTCGACAGGTAGATCTCAACAGATCCGTAAACGCGCATTAACCTATTCCGCGTTTCGCAGCGGAGAATCGCTAACCTGCCGGGGGATGTCCACCTTTGAGTTTGCACTCATCTGCTCCGCTCGACATCTCGTTGTCCTTGCGTCGATTAAAACGTCCAATTCAATCAAATTCGCACTACAATATGTTGCTGCCGCTCGCAATTGCAACACGCACTGCTGCTGATCGGACGGCGATAGCGGCACTCGATGCCTTTGTATGCGCGCTTCTAAACGTGAAGGAGGGGGGATTTTACTACGTGCCATTTATACTCCGTTCGCGATATATTCGCCTTCTCGCTTTAAATATACTTACACGTGGCGAGATATATGATGTCATAAAACAAGATCTAATCTTGAAAAGGATGCAGCTGAAAATTTTAATTATAAATTTATATTTTTCTTTCAATTGTTTATTCCACTCATAAGTTTAACAGTATGTAATTCAATATTAATTTCCCTCCATAAGAAATAAAAAAATATGAATGTTTTCTTCTTTCCAAAAAATTCTTAATCTTAATAAAAAAAAGCCGAATGAAGTAGTTATATAATTGTGTACATCAAATGTACTTTAACAATAAGCATTACAATTATTTACTTGATGAAATATGTAGCAAGTGATAGATTAAATCACAATGATTCATTATAAATTACACAAATTGAAAATCATCTCGTTTTATTTTATAAATGATTTGCTTATACACACACATTAAATCTAGGAGGAGGTGCTTGGTATTGCTTCATTCTCAGCTTTATACGCATAATGCAGATCTTTGGAATCTTCATCCGAGATATGCACCCAGCCAGTGGATTTCATGTGATACACTGTAAAATAAAATTGATTAATTTTTAATTTGCTCTTTAGGCTTGTTCATCATAAAGAAAATAATGGAAATCAATATCTTTTTGACATTTTGATTTCATATAAATCAAACTAATATTAAATTTTTATAACTGACCTCTTATGATACCGCCAGAATACGCATCTCTGTGTGTAGCATGGTAAATTGATCTTCTTCCAAGCTCATAAGCTTGCTCGTCAGTTAAATCCCATTTGTAACCGGAATCGAGTACACCAAACGCAAACACGGATCCAGAACCTACGCTGAAAACTTTTCCTGGAGTACGAGTGCCCTCTGAATCGACATAATAAAGTCCAGGGCCTCGTTTGTCCCAACCAGCTAACATCATACCTATAAAATTATTTCCATAAACTTTCATGTTTCATGATACCTAGATTTTCAATCTGAGTATTAATTATTGTATCTTACCAATACTTAATCCCATTCCTTTGAAATTATAAATCATGTTTGACAACAATTTACTTGCAGCTGCAATAGAAATGCGTTCTCTATTTCTGAGTTCATACATGCGACATTGTCTCGCTAAAACACGATCCCAATAGACACAGTCAGCGGCACCACCAGCCAAAGTGCCAAGAAGATAGTCATTAATTTCCACTATTTTCTTCATTGTGGATGAGCCTAAAGAGAATAAAATAAAAATTAATCAATTTTCATCATACATATATAATACATTAGTTGAAATAACATATATTGTGCTTTACCGATAAACTGTCCTCCTGTTGCACGTGAATCCACTGCCAGGATAATACCACCTTGGTATTGAAAGCCTAAAGTGGTTGTACCATGATCAAATTTAATTTTTAAGTGTTTTCCAGTCTCATCCGTACCCTGAGCTATGCGACCCAGAGTTTCAGCTGGCTATAAGTACATAAATACATGTAAAAACTATGGAATTATACTAATCAATATTTTGACAATGATATGAAAGCACAAACATAGCATAGATGATGCTAAACAATAAAATAAAAAATATGAATATTAAATATAACTATTACTAATGAATATTGTAATGTAATGTAACAATTATATTATCAATTTGAAAAATTATAATAAAAGTTGAGTGCCATAAACTGTATATATGAACCATTGCATGAGGTTGCAAATTTACATAGCAATTTCTGTGCACTTACATTTATGAATGGCGGTACCGCCAGTTGGAGATTATTAGTAAAATTTCTGGTATATCCCTCGATCTCATTGGAAATCTTATCTTTGTCTTGCGAATAGCCAAAATCAACGTAAGAATTGATACCACAAATTTCGGCGAGCGCCATTTTTACTGAGCATTCACCATCAACTGCTTACAACTGCTTGTCATCGGCTCAGTTCTGTTTCATTCCGGTAGACGGCGTGAACATCGTATTACAGTACATTCGATATTCATCGATAATCGATTTGTATATCGAACTGGTCAATTTATCACAAATCTGTAAACAAAACATTTCTTTTATGAAAAGTAAAATAATTGTTGTTTCCAATTCTTTTCTTGACTTCAACAATAAATAAATTATGAAAACAATTAGAAATACGCAAATATGTACTTGCATTAGATGATTGAATATGACGTTATGATACAAATGAATGGGTTATAAACTGTAAGTATATTTATTTTATATGAAATATTTTTTGAACAATACCACAAATAAATTGTATTTTATTTGTTACTAATTAATAATTTTTATTTTTTCTTGAAGTTAAAAATGCCACAGTTTTTAGACATGTTAATTTATTAATTTGTATATGTTAACATATTAATTTTTTATACAGTTATGTAAAGGATAAAGAATTTCCAAGAATATATAAGTTTGTAAGTATTGGAACAGCAATTAAGGATTTATTTAAAAACTCTATCACGATCGTACAAAGCATATCCATAAAGTTTCTAATAAAAGAAACATGCACTTGAAGCATTGTAACGTGTCAAGCGTTTGACTTGAATATCAATATACGGCCAATACTTTTTCGAGGGTCATCTGCAAGAATTTGTCGTCCAGGCACGACTTCATAAGTCGGATGGTGTGGCCGTGTCCGTACTATTACATTTCTCTTATCTGTATTCCATGGGGAAGAAACGTGATAAAACCCTACAATGAAGAAATCATAAAAAAAACCGTGCATACACTCATCTTAAGCATATTACTCGATAGACGTAAGTTTTGTATCTTTAAAAGTACAATCAGATAAATCTATCATAAAAATCATGCTACATTAATAAACATTGATAAATTTGATATTCCATATATATAAATTATTCATGTGCATATAAAAAAGATGGTTCTTTTATTCCAATATTTTTTAAGCTGAATAAATGCTACATGTAGATTTAAATATAATTATTTATATAATATTATAATTATTTATTATAAATATGTCAGAACAGAGTATATATAGAAACTTATGTTTAAACACATAATTTTTAGTATAAATATAGTGTGCACACAAGATAATAAAATTCATTAAATCTACGACATACGTGCTGACAGATTTCCCTTATTTGTATTCAACAGGAGAGAAACGTGGTAGGGCCATGGTGGAGAAATCACAAAAGAACCAGATAAGGCACACTGACCTTGGCGCACCACTCGAGGTGGTCTATAAAAGAGACGGACGCACCTCGTCACCCGATCAAACCGTACCAAAATGTCCCGTCTGATCATCGTCGTGCTCGGAGTTCTGGTGCTCCTGCAGATGGTCTCCGCCATAGATCTGTCCACAACTAAGAATGTTGAGATCGCATTTGCTGATACGGATACCGTGCCGAAAACAGCGTTGGTAAGATAAAATTGCTTGTCAAATATCTTACGATACCTGCATTTGGAAAAATTAAATATTTATGTACATAGTATAATTAAGACTAATCTTTTGCTCCAAGATGTATAATATATACAAACTATAAGATATATTCATGATTGCAATCTTAATTTTCATGTTAGACTCATTAATAAATTTAAAAAAATTCTGGAATTCTAAAACATGAGAAAAATCCAATATATATTTCGCTGATTTTTGACATTTAATACTAAAATAAAATTTTTCACATTCTTACTTTATGTAGTAAACGACTATTAATTTGAATCAATATTAAAATCTTATAAAAATATGATTATTAGTTTTTATAATGCAAAATAATGCAAGGAAACATGTTGCAAATAGTAATCTAGATAGACGCACACATCCTCGATTATTTTGAGAAAAATATCTTTGTTTTACGTCGTGTCTATTCAGAAAAATCTACTGCCTAATTCGTACGCCGCTGGATTTATTGGAAATCTCGAGATTGGAAGACGATATCCTGACGAAACAATTTTCCGCCGAGTTATCGAGTTTGACAATCCGACAAATACTGTTCAATCAAGTACCCTAACACTGACCGTCACTAATGGTAAGGAAATATTACATAACAAATTCATATAAATTAAATCTTGATTAATATGAATATATGCATATTGGATATGCATGCCAAAAGATACTTCTTAATTATTTTAAACATTTTTGTTTTTACAGGAATCATTCATTATGTTAGCGTAGTGAATGAAAGCGGCAGTTACGCGGTGGTATGTGACGAGGTGAACACCTTGGGATCATCCAGAGGGAACATTAATATCCGCGCCGCTGCCAAAACGAAATCCTATCTTACAGTAATCACAGCAGTACATTAAACAAGCATGTGCAAAAAGGAACAGCATTTATAGTTCGTGCATTTATAACAAAAAAAAATAAGAAAAATTGCTTTTTTTCCTTTCGCAAAAGAATTTTTCACTGTATCGTGTATCCTATATGAAAATAAAACAAATTCTGTTAAGTCAGCAATAATATCATGGTTAACGAATGTCGTCTACTTGCCCAAAAAAGGAAAACTTTTTATTTTTCAGCTTTTATAAAATATTATTAATACAAATGCAAAAGTATATTTTATAGCTAGACATGTAAAAATAGTTCATGAAACAGCGAAGGTGTGATTAATATTGTATAATAAATACTTGGATAATTCTTCTTGCAACTCACGTACCCGCGCAAGGTGCGTAAGCATTGTCACACGTAACAAATGTAAATTTCGTATATGCTATTTTCATGGCGTTACATCATGATATAAAGATTTTTCAAAGAACACAAACACAAATGCATTTCACAAAATAACTTTTGTCTTAAAATAGATTAAAAACAAATAATAATATGGAACATATGAGAGATATTTAATTTCAGAGATATATGCGATCTCACAAAATAATTTTTTTCTAAATATTTTGTCCCGAAATTTTTGGTCTGCTTTTAAGCTTTAAAAATCTATCAGTCTCGAAACTTAAGATGCACCATCTATCGATACGGACATACACATACACTTAGACGTTTGCATCCGAAAACGAATGTCGTGAAATTTCTTTTTCTGTTCATTTTTTACCGATAAAATCGTAAGCAAACAACTTAGCGAGTAGAAATGTCATCCCAGCATCTTGCCAAACCAGCTCATTAATGCGTTATTACAATTTTCTTTTAGAATCACTTTTTTTTCTTTGTTTGGTCAGCGTGCAAAACCGGATATCTCGGAACGAATTCTATTCTTCTTTTTAGAGCTGAGAACAAGAACTGAAAGAATCATTTGCATTTGATAATTCCTTAGAGTGTGAACATGGAATTTTTTCCTTGGAACCTCTTTTGAAAGATATAAAAAATCATTTTTTCTACAACACGGATTATAATTATCCTTATAAATGTGTTTATACTTCACTTATTAGTAAATGAAGAAATCACTATATAAAGATTTTTATAGCATATATATTATTATTTCACGTATTATATATTTTTTACTTGTGGAAATGTTTCGGTTTAAAATTTACTTTATTAATCACGTTCGATTTTTATACATTCACTATTCAAGTTAACATCACATTACTGACAAACTCACTCTTTTGTCACTTAAATGTTACCCTTTTCTATCGTTCTCGTTATATGGCTATGTCACGACTGTCTTATGGAAATAATTCTGTAGTTAAGGATTCATTAATAATGCACTCTCACCAGATGTTCTAAGTGGCAATTTTTTTTTCAGTTGCAATACTTTGCAACAACGTAAAAAATACTGCAAGCTGCACATTTTCCACGAGTCTTCTGAATTTTTCAATAGTTTGCCTCGTTTCGTATCATCATAATTATGGTCGTAAGAAACTTTTGCATTGTTTCTGAAAATTTCTGCACGTGCATGGTCACAACTTTACATATATGAAGCAAAAAAAAAACCACGAAACAACGAAAAGTACGTTTCTGGCGGTCGATGAACTTCGAATACTCGTCTGCGTGCACTTGTCATTGTAATTTATTTATCAACCCTTTTTGGCAGATGAACGTTGACGAGACGATAATAACACCTTTCTGGCTGTTGTAATATTTACGACAGTACAATGTGCCTTCGCATTTCACGAATTTCGTTGAAAGCATGCGTGATAACAACACTCCAAAAAGTGGGGATAATATTGTCAACGAAAGAAGATCAGTACCCCTTTGACGAATGACATGGATCGTTCAAATGGATATAATGGTGCTTCTTTCGTTATTTTTATAATGTTTAGTGTAAAATGATGTGCCCTTTCGTAACAATTTAACATTATTGCAACAAATTGCATTTAAATATCTTTTTTTTCGATAAATCTTTGAATACGCGATTGTGTGGTCTTATATAAAATTTATTAAAAAATGTCACACAAGAGTCGAATACTCAAGAGAATAATAACTAATCTAAAATCATTTTATATAATTAACATTCTAATTTAAAAATTTATTTAGAGAATAGAATTCATTAAGAATTCATTACTAAAAAATGTTGATACTTGAGTGCAACTAAACTTTGCTTGATTCATTGTGATATATTTTTTATATTACGTTAATATAGTGTGAAATAATATTAAAATAGAAAATTTTAATATATCAAAATTTGATTGATTACATAGATTTAGAATGGGCAATTGGTTTAAATCGCCGCATGTTGAAACTTGTTGGTTTGTGGCCACAAAATAGTACGATTTCGTATGAAGTCATATTCTCGAAATTTTGCTTGTTGTTTAACATTATCACGTTGATTTTCGTATTAACAATACCGGCTTTAGCATCGTTGATCAGAGTATGGGGTGATATGATACTGATGATAGATAACTTGCAATATACTCTACCTTTATTGATTACGATATTAAAAGTCTCCATTATGTGGTGCAAAAGAGAAGGTATATATCATTTTATAAATTATTAATAAATTATGTTTATCCTAAGATTTTAGATTTTTTACTATTCAATTTATAAATTGTTCATTATTAAACTTTCATCAAGATTATAACAAATATATTATTAAACGATTACTTAAGATTATACAAATTAAATTCCAAAATAAATTTGCAAAAAAGAATAATTTTATATATTGTCTTTGCAGCTTTATCGCCGCTAATTGACATGGTGATAAAAGACTGGACGAAAGTGAAAATGGAAGAAGAGCGAAATGTTATGCTAAAGCAAGCTAGAATCACTCGCATACTTGCGATGTGCGGAGGATTCATGATATTTCTTACACTCTTAATCACTTTCAGCTCTTTGTTTTTTGGACTGACGCTGAGGCACGTAACAAATTTAACTGATCCTGGAAAACCACTGCCACTTCAAACATATTACTTGCACGATGTGTCCAAGAGTCCGCAATTCGAGCTGACGTTTTTCACACAAGGAATCGCAGTAACCACATCTGGTCTCAGTTATACAGCAGTCGACAACTTTCTTGGACTATTACTTTTACACATATGCGGTCAAATAGAAAACCTGCATTTGCGATTATTGAATTTAGGAAAGAATTCGAATTTTATAGCAACTTTAAAATTCAACGTCAAGGATCACATTCGCTTGATCAGGTTTTCGTAAATGACTTATAATATGAATTAGTCAATCGTTATTTCTTTTTTTAAAGAAAAATTGAATTTGTTAAAGAATGTGAATTAAAGTAATTTTATAAAAATAAATATTATATATAGTATTAATTAATATTTTTATATTACTTAACTTATAATGACTAATTTCAAAGAAAATGTAAGAAGATATACTATCCAACTATATATTTTATAAATACCATATAAAATTTTATTATCTTTTGTTATTGTAGTTCCATTCAAATTATTGATAATACGTTCAACTTAATGCTGCTTGGTCTAATATTCTTTTTTGGTGTACTATTCTGTCTTCAAGGTTTTCTAATAATTAATGTACGTAAAAATAGATGAATAACAGTAATTTTCCTAAAACAAATATCGATAATTTGCAATATCAATCTTTCAAGTATAAAATAAATTTTATACTGTAAATCCGATTTACAATAATCTAGGTTCTTAAGCAAGGAGAAAACTTAACACTTTTACATTTCATTTGGTACATCTCCGCAAATGTATGTGTTTTACTGCACATGTGTCTTTACTGTGCGATCGGTGAATTTCTTGTGACACAAGTAAGTAAAATATTATTACTACAGTGGCTTTAATAATATATAGCGTGAGAGAGAGTTAATAAATTTATAAATTAATAATTCTATGATAATATATATCAGAATAAATGTTATAATTTTTGTGCAAACAAAAGTTATTGAATTAAAATATGTCTTGAAGACACAAATTTTAAAAATTGTATTTATTCTATGCATAATTTGACATGTATTTGACTTCATTGGCATGCCAATTTATTAATGCATAATTTGCAATCGAAATTAAAAGAATTATAATTTTTATAATTATTAGTCAGAAAATTGAAATGTCTGACTTTAAAATTGTGTTATAATTAATTGAAATAATTAACCTTTTCTTATTGACAAAAATTAGTCTTGTTCTTTCCAGTTAATTAAATTAATTTTTTAACAAATGTAAAATTAATATAACATATGTTTTCAGTCTGAAAAAATACATAGCGCCACGTATGAATACTTATGGTATACTTTGGAACCAAAAGCAGCAAAACATTTAATACTAGTCATGCTCCGCGCGAAGAAACCACTTTATATTACGGCAGGAAAAACGTTTCCAATGACAATGGCCACATTTTGCAATGTAAGTTGTGTATAATATATAAAATATAGTATCACCTGTCTTTTATTATTCTGAATATAGTATGAAATAATAATATTTTGATATCGTTAAATGCATTAAATGCATTAATTTTGATATTAAATTTATCTTATGATATTATCTTTGCAATTAATATATTTAAATATCGATAGTTTTTCATATTTTAATATTTCATCATAAAAAATCTAAATATTTCAGTTATTAAAAACATCAGCTGGCTATGTATCTGTGTTACTTGCTAATCGAGATTAAAAAACAACGCAATATGTAGCTGGTACGTTAGCATATATTATAATGTAAAATTTAAAAATATGAATTATAAATATATAAATTTATATAAATACATTGCAATAAAAATATAGAAATGTTTATAGGATATTAGAAATACAATATATTTCTTGATACTTTTCTCTATAATTACATTTGAAAAAATGTTAGATTTATAATAACATTTTGAAAAATGTTATTATAAAAAAAAGTAAAAAAAAATATATTGTATTGCATTGTATTAAAGTATTTGCATTGAAATATTTTTTAATTAAGATATTGATCGGTATTGATCCTTAAATAGATTATCAATCGCGCGGGAAAAAAGAATAATAAGATAAACATGAAAACACAATCATATATAATATTTATATTTAAGTATATTACTTCCTAATTACAAAATCTATGCTTTTACCTTATTTACTGGGTTTTCAAGTAATAAATCTCCTTTAGGTTTCAATTTATTATCAAGGATTTGTTGTCTTCTTTGTTCATTCTCTTTCTGTAATTTAGCATGTCTTTCTACTGCATGATCTACCTCTCCTACTAATTTAATAATTTTTACCTATAATAGATACAATAAAAAATACAATAAAAATTGTTAACAAAATAATAATAATTACAATTTTGTTTTACATACTGCATATTCACTTTGTTTCTCTAAACGTGCTTTTGCTCTTATCCCAAGAGGTGTAGGTTTTCCATCTTTAAATGTATAATCAGGTAAATTTGTCAATGGGCCAAAAGTATTTGGATTTGATGTTAATCCACGTCTAAAATATATTTTGTATTAATTAACCTATACTTTATAAAGCTTAATATTTTATAGAAAAGGAAAGTTAAGTATAATTATTTCGTGTTAAATATATCAGAACAATATATATAGTATTTCATATACTAAATTACATATAAATAATTCTACAAATACATACTTTTCTCGCCATTTTTGGTTCAAATGTTGTACACAAGACTGGTGAAATCCATTAATTGTTATATAATCTGTAATACCAGATAATATGAAATATTAATGAAATATGTTCATTTATTATATTTAATACATAAATATAGCATAACAAACATATTTAATATATTATTTATTCTTAAAAATATATTATAATATGACTAATATATACACCAATTTTTTAACTTTTCAATAATACTAATTTATATGTCTAATAATACTAACTTATATGTCTTTCAATACGAAGTATAGTCCCAGTAATTGACATCATATTTGATGGTAAAACTATATTAATTGAGTGATAATTTTTATTTAACAACTTCTTTTTTATTTTTGTTTTCAATCTACTTCTTCCCACATAATCCCTTATAATACAGGTTATGTTATGTTAAATACACTAGATATCAGTTCTAGTGTTCTGTATTCATCCAGTGATACCAACATAAATACATGTTCTTTTTAGCCGCTTTATACAAATGTATTTTTTTACATTAGAAAACATATTTTTAAAATTTAAATGCTATAACAAAGTATAGAAAGATAAAAACGGCATAATATATCAAGTTCAATAAATTATTAAAAAATATATTAGAGAAAAGTCATAGTTTTCTTTTATTAATTATATTACTTACATATATTACATATAACGTATGTTATATACATTAATAATTCAATTAAAAAATAAATGAAACAATTAACTTCGTACACCTGGAATACGATACAAAAACTCTCCATCATCATCATAATAACAATCATTGATTCGATACATCATACCAGGTTTGTGAAGATGTTTCGCAATCTTTATTGGTTTAGCGTAATTGCATTCTGTGTCTATTTTTTTATTCCATATTTTAATACTAGTATCTAATAAATTATCATCTGCTGTCACAATATTCAAAAATTTTTCATTTTTAGGAGCTACAGAAATGCTCTTGTTAGATTTCTGTATATTTTGTGATACAGCGCTCTTTTCCACACTAATCTCTGCATCGTCAGACACTGTGGCAACTGTTGTAGTTTTCAACTCTTGATTGGCCTCTACCTGTTTCCTGTATGTATCTAGCAATACAATACCTTCTTCTGGAGATTCCTTGCGTATATCTTCCAGCTTGGCTTTTATAAATTCATCAAATGTAAGTAGCTTGTTATTCTTTTCCTTATTAAATGACATTGTATCACGTTTTTTCAATTCTTCATTCAATGTTAATGTTTGACATCGTTCCTTAGTTAATGTAAGTTTCTCTGAATTTTTAACAGCAACATGATCATCATCAATTGTAGAATTTGCAATCAAATTCTGATTTTGTTTCAAGTGATCAGTTGTACCTATCACTTTATTGGAATATTCCTTTTGCGATAGTAACTTTTCATCATTCTGTTTTTCATTTAGACAAGTCTGTACAATATTAGAAAATAATTGACTCTTTGGTTTCTTAAATTCTGGCTCGGGTAAAACAAATTGTTTTGCCAATGATTCTCTGTCTGTTAAAATAATTTTCCTGTCTTTAAATTTCATTAAATGTTCATTAAATAAAGGGCTTACTGGAAGCTTTCCAGCACGAAACTTCTTCCAATTTTCAACTACCACTTTATCATATTCAATAACTCTCTCTACTGATTTTGGTAACCATTTAGCATTTAAGATTTTTTGTATCGTTCCTGGTAAAGCAGGAAAACTCTCACTGAGTTTGTTTACTGTCCATTCTTCAGGATTAGATCTGTGTAACTTGTGAATTAGTTCTCTTTCTGCAAATGTGATAAAACGTGGTTCATTTTCTGTAAAATACTTCTGAGCAGTAATCTGTTGTTTAAGTTTCTCTTTCTGTCTCTGCATTTCTCTGAAAAGAAACATATTAATAATATCTTCTAATAAATTTATATATTATCATATATAAATAGCTATTTTTACAATCTAATTTACAGAAAATAATATCGAGTTAATATTAAATTAATAGCTACATTTAAGCTATATTTAAGATTAAACGTAGCCAATCTCAAATGAGTTAGATATGAATAAAATTTAGATATAAGCAAAATTATTATATGGACTATTTGCTTCTATAAAATATAATATAGTATAGCGTGCATCCAATGCAATATATAAAATATTAATATATACCTTTCGTGCATTTTATGGCTCATATCAAGTTTCATAAAATCCGACTCGTACTCGCTTGTATCTTCGATATCGAAACTTTCTAAATCAACCGATCCATCCTCTTTCATTACTTCCACTTTGTGACGAATACCGGCAAGAGGATTGTAAGACCTCCTGCTAAACATTCTACAAAATGTCAATATTTTAATTTCCTTCATCATGCAGTTCGATGTTTTCCTCACGTTTCTTTACATTTGTCCTCAACTAACTAACGTGCAAGTTTAGAGAACAACATCGAGATTCGGTATTGTACCGATTGTACCTATTACTCCGCTAAACAGTCAAAAGTTTCAAACTTGACTGTACGTAGAAGAACAGCAACACCTGATATGTGGTTCTCTCTCGGCTAGCGATTCAGTGCCCATTCCATTATAGTTCAGTGATTATATCATATGATGGCGCTTTAACTGTTCTTCACTTATGTCCTATCTACACCGAAGGATGATCCTGCTTGTGGCTCATCCGATCACTTTCGCCTTCAGTGTGATTTTCAATGTGTTTCAATGCGTTTACATAACTCGCTCAGATGAGCCACAAGCAGGATCATCCTTCGGTGTAGATTAGGGCATTAGGGACCCTAAAAGTAAAAGAAATAAAAATTGAAGGACGCGATTAAGCGTTTTTTGGTCCTTGCGAGTTCTCCGATCTTGAGGTCTGTTCTTAACTTTGTTCTTTATAGCTGAACCGGCTGCACTAGTTCAGAGTTTATCTTTTTCCCTTCACATTGAAAGGAGAAAGATAATGTTGTCCTCCAACGTGCAACGGCAACATATAATCTGGTATCTACATATGCATTATTCAAGTAAATAGCTAAAGTTCTATTTATGTGAATTTATATAGTTGCATAGAAATACATAGAACAAAAAATCTGAAAGGTTTAATATAAAAAATATGCTTTTTGTAACATCTATATTTTTTTGAATTTTTATTTCTTTCCTTTCTTTTTAACGTTTAATCACACATTTATTTCGAGAGTGTAGGAAGTGTAATCTAATGCAGTGATAAAGAACAGATCTCAGCATTGCCTGAACGCTTTCAGAACAGCTATATGTGTTATTTGTTATTTTTACTTCTGTTTGGGATTAATTTTAGAACGTAGTGCATTTTTTAAACAATACTTTATATATTTCATTATTCCTAAATTAATTGGAGCAAATTTTAACACATTATCTCATAGTAGAACATCTATATTAATACGTGGCCATAAATACTTTTTCATGATTGTGTAAAAAGGATAAATAAAATAAATGTGTAACAAGTAATTGGAGAGTGATTGGAACAATTGTTTTTATGTTAAGAATGCCTGGTTGTTGTGTCAAAGGGTGCTACAATAGAGCAGAAAAAGGATATAAACTTTACAAATTGCCTCAAGGAAGTAAAAATAATGCTAGGCGAAAACTGTGGATACAAAATATAAATAGAAAAGATCCATTACCACTACATGCATATGTTTGTCAAGTAAGTATTTCAATCTTTTACATTTCAAGAATTTTACATTATATAAGTAGTTATATGCATAAGTTATACTTATATTTATACATTTTAGATTTAATAATGTTATCTAACTTTCAGAACATTTATTTTTTAGGATCATTTTACAGATGATCAATTTGAACTGGGAAGAGCAGATCATAAAAAATTATTGAAGTGGAATGCTGTTCCTACACTGTTTTCTCATTGTAAAGAAAATAAACAAGAAAAATTTCCAAAACAAGAGGAAACAGTTGTAACTGTTCTTGAATCAAACAATAAATCAGAAGAAGAAGAAGGAGAAGAAGAAGAAGAAGAAGAAGAAGAGAGAGAAAACTTAAACTTTGAACTCAAAAAGGAAACAGAAGTAAAAATGGATAACTGTACAAATAACAGTTCGGATGAAGTAGCAACTTTAAAGTGTGAGCTAAATGTTTGTCGACAAGAAATACGTACTTTAAGGACTATTATATCTCAGTTACAAACAATTATAGAAAGATTGGTAGGGGAGAACTGCACAGATGAATCGTAAGTGATACTTTATGGAAAATTTGACAATTTTGAAATAATATATAAAAATTTGAGATTAATTATAGTTAATGATTTAATATAAATTAAAAAACTATTTGAAACTTTGATTATATAGATTCCACGCCATCAAAGACAATCCATTTAATAACTGATAATGATAAGTCTGTAGTTTAATAATAAATTTTTATTTTTTAGACTGCCAGTGGAATGCTGAAGAAATTTACATTTCAAGAGCTAAACAATAGCTAGTCCACGATCCACTATGTACAAAGTTTACTCAATTTTCAAGCACAAGACATTGGACAATCGTCTGTATCTAACAATAAGAACTACAATTTGTGATATGACTGCCAATGGAACATTTACCACATTCCATTCTTGCGATAGGCTTCGTTGTATTCAATATTAACAATAGGAAATTATTTCTGTTGTTTTTAAATCATTGACACAATCTATATTGATTATACAAATTAAATTTTAATAGTTATTATTTTGTCTTCCTTCCACCGACTAGCTTTATCACAATACTTATATTATGGAGAAATTTTGCATTAACAAAAATGTTTCTAGAAAAATTTTTTTATTGGCTATTATGTCAGACAAAACGCAGTATGAATTCTCCTCTATGTTCATGTTCATACAGTATGGTTGTCAAAGAAGCCGAAAAAATGGCGGACGAAAACGAGGATCAGTGGTTATACGGAGATTCAACTGATGGAAAAGAATACACTCCAGTGAATATTCAACCGGAAGTTCAGCAAAATGATTCATTGCTCGTTAACATTCAAGACAAATCCCAAATTGAGGAAGACCAACAAGTGGAAGGAACTAATGGAATGGAGTCTGAGGTGTGTGACTTAACCTGTCTTGTCTCAACCATTCACCATAAAGTAACATTTTGCAAAATATGTTATAACGAAATAGTTCGTTATTTATTTTAATTTGGCAGATTTAATATTTGGAATGTTTTATGTTGCATACAGTCTTTTTTGTATAATAATTTGTATTTTATCTGTATTTATGTTTTAATGGTAATATAACCTATATATAATACTTAAACGATAAACAATATATATATAAACAAAGATAATTAAAAAAACTGTGACATCTCGATGTTTTTAAAATATGTATAACATCACACACGTATCTACATATATACATTTGTGTTTACAGATACAAGGTGATGCTGATTCTCCTGTTGGTGATCATGAGGAATCCAATTCGCTAAATAATGCACAAGAAGAGAATATGGACGCAAATAAAAATGGGGCAAGGGAAGTCTCTAGTCAAGAGGATGGTGAAGCAGCTAGTGATTCTGACTCTGACGATGATGTGCATGTTGTTATCGGCGATATCAAATCAACACCTGCATATGGTAGTTTAAATATCAAGAGAGGAGGACTGCTAACTAATGCATCCGGAGTACCAGATAAATTGAATAAACAACCAGGAAAGTTCAGCATAGATGAATTTGAAACTATTGGAGTTATCAATGGAATACCAGCCCATGAGTACAATTTAGATCAATTGGAAGATAAGCCATGGAGACAACCTGGTGCAGATATCACAGATTACTTTAATTATGGCTTTAATGAGGAGACCTGGAGGGCATATTGCGAACGTCAAAAGCGGATGCGAAGTGAATCCGGAGTGGGATTGGTTTTAAATGCAGGAGGTGGTACTGGCAATCAGAGTAGTATGAGAGTACCACAAGTTGCAATAACTAATGACAACAGCAAATATTCTGGTATTATGGGTCCTAAGAGAGCAGGTCCACCACCAGGAAGAAAGATGGCTGGCACTATAGATGTTATTGGAAGTTCTGGATTGGCCTCCAGAAGAAATTTGGACAAGTCTCCACCAAAAGGAAATGTTATACAAGTCATGACCGCCGATAGGAGAGAGTATTCTAGAAAACCAGGTTTTCCTGATATGAGTGTACCGCCTCCTGGAGCAGGAATGCCACCACCACCGTTTGATATGCCTCCACCAGGATACGCCAGTGAACCAACACCATTTTATATGCCAGAAACTGATCCATATTATCAGAGTTATGAACCTACACAGGATAACCAGTGGGGCAATGATCCGGTAAGAAAGCGGCGTATTATACATTATTATTAACAATCTAAACAAAAATGTTTAAAAAATACTATTTAATGCAATAATGCAAAATATTTTATGCTAGAAATAGATATCCATTTTTTTTCCTTTTGGTTATAGACGTGGCAGCCGACAAATCTAGCAATTCCGATGACGGAAGGTGAAGATGACAAAGACATGGGACCTAAGACAATACCTACGATGGTTCCACCAACGGCCATTCCTCCTTTGATGCAGCCACGTGATCAGAGAGACAATAGAGATCGTGAGCGGGACAGAGATCGAGAAATGGATTCTATGGGAAGAGATAGGGAAAGGGACAAGGAGAGAGATCGTGATCGTGACAGAGAGAAGGATTCTATGATAAGGGACCGCGATAGGGAATCTATGACTCGAGATGAAGATCGAGAACGTGATAGGTCTAGATCCCAATATCGGCATAAAGATCGGTAATACATTCTTTTTATTTTTTTTTCCAAACTTCTATGTCTATATTACAATATTGTTAACACTTCTCGATTCCGATATTCTTTAGGCATCGACATCGATCAAGATCGCGATCTCGTAGACACAAATCGAGATCGCGTAGTCCAAGTCGACGTAAGAAGAAATCCAGACGCTCAGACAGAGAACGTTCCAAGGAAGAAAGTGAATAAATGTGTGTACATGTAATCTTTTCATGTTAATTTACAGGGCTATAGCGCATCGCACTAGAACAAAATGAGCATTATTCATGAAATTAGATGATGTTTCCGCAAATACTACTGTTGCCGCAGAAAATGTATGCATCAACACAATTATTCACACACGAAGTTATTTATAAGATATGCAAACAAAAAATTAAATTTATGATAGTGTTTACTTACTGCAAAAAAAATCTATTAAATATTGATTGCATTTTGAATTGCTAAAAAGAAATTTGTCTGTCTTTTTGGCACCAATCATACAATATCTTGTAAAAAATAAAAATAGTTTGATAAGCAGTTACTAATAGAAATAATGAAAATTTTTTGAAATAAATTGATCGAAAATAGCAGATAGAGAAGATATATATATATACATTTTATATATATATATATATATATATATATATATATATATATATTTAGTCTTTTTTTATTTAAGCTTTATGTTGTAAAGTGCGATATTTTTCATTTTTTGCATGTTAATTTTGCACATACATTTTTTTGTAAATATAATCTTTATAAAAAATATGTAATATCAATAAAGTCACATTTTTGATATTTTTATGGTGTATTTCTGAAAAAAACGCAATTAATAAGACAATAAATAAATTTTACTTTAATTGAAATTAAATAGAAAATTTAATTACTCAAAATAAGTATTTTTACTATATTTATGTAATGTTTTGCTAAAGTACGGGCGTAAAAATTATTAAAACAAATGAGAATTATTAAAATGTTTATATTTATCATAATTGAACAATATTGAACTTACGCTCAAATATATTCGAAATTGTTCAAATTCTGTTCGAGAAACATCTTTCCGCCAATGGGCACTCGACAGCTATCTTATAACCGTCGTTTGGAAATATAGTCTCTGATCAAGTCTGATGTAGTCAGTGGTCAATGTAACGTAGCCTTGCACGGCCGTTGAAGCGTTGAAATTTATTTGAAGACCAAGCTGGTATATTTTTATATAATAGTTATATATGTCTATGATTTTATGATATAACTATAATAAGCACAATAATAAAATATTAAGCATTAAAATTTCTGTTTACATATATTCAAATATTGATTAATTTGTTATGTGAAAATGAAACGTAATTACACACTATAGGTTATATTTTTCTGTACACATAACGGCCATGAGATAGCTGATATTTTAGAAGATATTTTAAAATATTTATGATAAAAGTAACAAATATATTTATGCATAATATTAACCTACTAGCAGTATAAAATATTTAATAAAAAATTGCAAAATTTATGTGTTAAAACGGATTTAATACATGTACAATCAACAGTAATATCAATTTTTTTTTAAAGAATTTATTGGTTTCGTTACACATTAAGAATCGCAAAGATGCCAAAATCGAAAGAATACATATCTGATAGTGATGATAGCAGTGAGGAGGTATGATGTTATTTTCTATCTTCATAATTTTTGTAATAGTTTGATCCTTACACATTACTTCTTATTTGCAGGAGTTAAAACCAACTAAAAAGAAGCAGAAAAAGGAAAAGGATGAAAAGGAAGACAAGGGAGACAAGGGAGACAAAGGAGCGTCACATAAAAAAGTGAAATCAGACGATGTAGAAGAAACCATCTGGGATTTAGGCAACAATCGCCAAGTAAACGTGAGGAATTTCAAAGGAAAATATTATGTAGATATTCGAGAAATGTATTACGACAAAGAAGGCGATTTAAAACCTGGGAAAAAAGGTAACACTATTTTTTTTAAATACGAAATTAGTTCTTAAGTTTAATTAAATACAAGACTTTAATTACAAATAATAAATATTTATAAGATATTTTGATATTTAATCTGTATTCTCTTTGTAACTTTTACAGGAATATGTTTAACTATGCAACAGTGGCGAAAGTTCATGGAGGTGGTACCAGATGTGGACAAAGTTGCAAAGTCAAAGTGTTAGAATTTCACTTATATTTTTTTTACAGTTATAATTTTTCATATGTTGAAATTTTGAGTTCCAAACAACTGTACATTTTTTTAAATACTGGATTATAACTAAAATTGTATAAAATGTAAAACTATTATTTAAAAAACATAGCCATATTCACAGTAATAACATTACTGCTGTTTGTAATAGATAAATAAAATATTTCAGTTGATACACTAATTTATAAAAAAAGAAATATAATTTTGAAAATTATAATCACATACCTATAGTGAAGTATTTAAAGTTTTATAAGATTTCTAAATTATATAATTTTTAAACTTTATAATGTGTACTGTAATGTAGTTTTCAGTTTTGTATAGAATACGTCACATAAAGTATCACATATTTGTACACATAAAGCTTTGTGTTTAATATCAGAAAATTCTTTCTTTTCTAAATTGTTATATGATAATGAAATAAAATTGTTGATTGTCAATCGAACAGTTTATACGCTATTATTATATGGTATTAATATTGCCTATAATGTATGTGATACGTGTATCACATTCCTCATAAACCACATAAATTCACATTCTTTTAAAAATATTACATTGTCCTTTAGTTAATAAAATCTTTAAATTAAAAAGAAAGAAAAGATATCTATTTTTGAATAAATTATGAGGTTACATTAAAAAAAAATCCTCAGAGTTAATTGCTTTGATATTGTGACGTTTGATCATATAAAAATGTTAAATAATATAAACTGCCGATTGCAATACTGGCACTGAATAATTACTTAAATAACTAAGTAATCTTATCTTATAAGTAATTAAATAATTTTATCATTAATGCTATACATCGTATAAAAATATAAAAAATGCATGCTACTATTATACGCAGAAGGGCAATATTTATATATATACAAGAGTGTAGTAATTAAAACAAATTGTACATTTGTACATCATAGAGAGCATTTATACAGGTCCATGAACTTTATCCAGAAGGTTATTCAGATCTTCTTTGTTCATGTTATTAAGCAACATTTGTGGATCAATTAAGCACGGCTTTTTTTCAATCTTAAAAAAGAAAAGGAAACAATTATATTGTCTAAATATTAGAATATGAATATTATGTGCGAGTTGTTTTATTACCTGTTTCGTTTCTTTTGTTTCCGACAGTTTCCTCTTCCGACTTTTGGCAGTATCTGAAACTGAAGCGTTAACTTCTTGAATGAAGAATTATCTAATCTCAAATTATAAATTATTTTTTGTGATCTTACCTTTTTCCTGATGCTTATCAACTTTTTGCTTCTTCCTTGCTTCGGATTGCGTATTGGTGTCAGTTCTGTTTGTCGTAGCAGTCTTAGTAATCATCTTCTTTAATTTAGTTTTTGATAACTTATCTGTAGGAGGCTCTACAGGAGATGAGGTAGCCAAAGGTTTCGCAGCTTCTTTTAAAGTAAACGCATCTTTGTCCATTTCGTTGCCTTTATCATTTTTGGTGGGTGATCTCTTGCTTATCGCCCGTTTTTTAGATTTCGGCGCTAGATTAAATATTTCCTCAAAGTCGGAGGCTTTCATTATCCTAATGCACTCAATGGGACTGGAAATATTTGGATCGGAAACATCAGCGTGATTGATTTCGATTTGTAGCTCATGTGCGCTGTACCTTCGTCTTCTCTTTCTTATCGGTGCACTGTCATCGTGCACAAAATGATACTCCGCTTTGTAATGATGAATATTGGCTGCTTGGTGTAATTCATTGTTGACATTGTCCTTGTTTTCATATTCACTCTGTTCCTCATGTTGCTCTTCAATCTGGTTTTCACCATTGTGCAAATTCTCATTTTTGTATGCCGGCACTAATCGCAGACACTGAAGAACAGACGACAATTCTTGCTTGGGATTTTCGGGATTAACGTTTTCCCTCTTGCTTGGAATTTCAATGAGATCAAGGTTTTCGGTTTCCGTATTAATCACCTCCTTGCTAGTTTTCACGCTTACGGCTGAAGATGATCTGTGATCACTTTCCTCGTCGCTAAACAAGTCGCGCTTTACTTGATCCACTTTGTACCGTAATATTTTAAAACATTCAGACTTGTCGGGGTGACTTGCAAAGTGTCTCGGCTTATTCGTTTTATCTTCCGGTTGATCACAAATTTCCTGTTTCGCCTTATCTGCAGTTGATGTTTTTTGTACAATATGTTCAGTGGAAGTCACTTCTTGTTCCGAGCTTTTTGCATTTTTGGTATTATCTTGAAGTTTCTCTCCTTCTTCTTTGGTGCTATTACTTTTGACGCTGCAGCTTTTCTCCGTATTTTCCTTAACGTTCGATTTTTCTTTTAGATATTCTTGATTTTCCGACGAAGAAGTTTTATGCGACTGTAAGGATTCGCTTTCTTTATTCTGATTTTTAGCCAAATTATTTTCCGCACAGATGTTACCTTTATATGATTGTTTTTTCGTATAATCATTGAGTGGTTTATTTCCATAATTTGTTAAGTTAGAAGCTGCATTTTTCAATTCGGCATTCTTCTTCCTGTCTTCTTCGTTATCACAGCATTTATGTACGAAATTCAGCTTTTGCTGCTGATATCTTTTCCGAGTATTTATTGTCGAAATTTTTTGTGGTTTATCTTCACACTTCGCATTCTTATTGACATCTTTATTAGCATTCTTCTTGAGAGAAGACTTTGGAATTGGCAGTGTCTTTCGTGGTTCTCTGCCAATCTTCTTCAGAGCGTTGGAAATGCATTTACGCTTCGTCACTTTAGAAAGATTCGGTTTTGAAGTATCCTTAATCTTTGCGATCATGCGTTGCCGCTTTTCTTCTAATTGCTGCATGACTTTATCGTGTTCGGGTCGATGATGGTCTTTAACGGGCTCTTTTTCAGGCTCGATGACAATCTTCGATGATCCTGGTCGAATATATTGCATGCTTATTATCTTCGGCTTTGCTTTCAACTTGTTGATTTGAATTTTATTGTTATCCTTCGACGGTTTGCTCACTTTTGACAATTTTTCGTCTTCCGTTATAATGGCCGATATCTTTGTCGACAAATTAGTGAAATGTTCCATTCCGCTTTTCGAGCTGCTAGGCGTTTCCGAAATAACGGCCTCGTTTAACAGAGTTTCATCTTTGACGGGAGTTTCCTTCATCGTGGCTTCTATCTGCTCATCAGTTTTTACGATCGCGAATACTTTCTGCGGTGATGATTCTTGTTCTTCGATCAGATCGTTATCGGATTTTTTACATGTATCGATTGGTATATCAGTCGATCGCTCGTTTTTGGATGCGTTAATGCCTTTCTCCGCAAAATCATTGCTGGTGTCCGTGCTCGTTTTACTCTGTGCTTTGTCGCAATTTGATGAACCCGACGTCGACGTATCCGTGTTCGAACTGGATGTAGACGATGACGAAGACGATGACGAAGTGTCAGACGACGAGGAGCTATTACTCTCCGCAGAATCGTTGTGAGGATTGTTGTGGGAATCCGCAACGTAATTGTCGTTTATCTCACTTACGCCTTTAAATTCATTTATCTCTATTAAATCTACATGGCGATCTATGACAATAGACGCATTGAGATCTGAATCTTTCGAACTGGATGCAATTTTGAGCTCCTTTATAGCCTCTTCCCTTGGCAAGTTCTCCTTAATCACTTCGAACTGCGTTATCTCTAATTTAGAGGTCTGATAAGTATTGCCAGATGTAAGGCTATTGTGCGTCGAATGTAATGATATGTGCGATGACGATATAATAGGAGACTCCTGTAAACTGCTATCTCTAGGCTTAGACAATTCAGAGTCCTGAACTTGTTCAGATTTCGGTTTGTAATATGAAGAATTGTATTCACCCTTAATATCCCTAGTTGTCTCTTCCTTCGGAGTTAAAGCTACGCACGGAGTTATCGGAAATTCCGGCGTGGTAATAAAGCTACGTATCTTACTGGAGTCTTCACTAATTTTGATGAACGGCGTGACGATATTGCTACTAGGACTTAGAACTCTCGGTGTCGGCGGAGGACCAGACATATTGTCGAACTTCCTAGGTGTCTCTAAGCTAATCATATCAGGCAGTCGCAAGATCGAGCAGGTGTGCTGTGTACTGTCGACAGACAAAATTCTCGAGATCTCGGAAATCTGCGCGTCTTCCGTTTTCTTTTTCATTTGATCATCAGACTTCCTTAAATTGGTCGTTATCGTTTTTAATTGTGCGTATTTTTTCACAGGTTTCTTCTCAATCACCGTATTGCTGTTAAGTGCGCTTGTACTGTTTATCTCTACCGATGTCTCGTCAATACTGGCTGATTTCAAAACTTTGGCCGGTTTATTCGTGGTAGAATCTGCTGTGTTTATAACAGTCTTCTTCAAATTTTCTTCCTCGTTATTTCCCTCTGTTATCGCAGCAGTGCGATATGTGTTGTCTTGGGAATTCTCTTCTGTTTCGTTCTCTTCGATGTTTTCCGCATCGTGGCTGGACTTCCTATCTATTTTGTTAGTTTTTCTCTTTTTGCTCTTAGTTGACCGTGGACTGTATTTAGCATTCATGTGTACATCATTCTTCTCTTTAATAGAATCTCTCTTCCTCTTCCCAGGTTTCTTAGTCACAACCTCGTCTTTCTTATTCAATTGTATACTTTTGCGTAAATCAGCATCCCAACTTTCCGTTACCGCTTTAGAAGGCTTGTGCTGAACAGTCTTATCTTCGGAGGACGAACAAGATGCACTCCCATGCGGAGATACTTCACCTATAATAACACCAACACCGTTATATTTGTCCCAACCACCCATGAGTTTTGGTGCAGGACTTCTAGTGGCTATGGGAATTCTATAAGGTTGACAAACTTTGATTGGACTCTTTTGTTTCTGAGTGGAAGTACTAGACAGTGGTGATCTAAACAACGAGGTTCTACAAACAGATTTCAAACGTTTTGTTGACGAAGACAAGAATTGAGTGTTGTTACCTTCACCGCTCGCTTTCCTAGCAGAGCTCATCGTGGGAGTGCTAAAGTCAAGCGCTCTCACGTGACTGCTTCGCTTACGCGGTGTGGACAAACTTAATCTATGATTTTTGGACCTACTTTTTAACAGGGACTTCGGCGTGCGTTTAGCAATAATATCGGCGTTAGGCGACTGCTGCTTCTCAGTTGCATCGTTATCCGCTGATCTTTTTCTCGCGTTTTCCATCATGGGTGCTAAATCAATGTCCGAGAGATTGTGACTTTGGTTGGTTTTGTTACAATTGAATTTCAGATATGGAGAAAGACCGCTTTCCGACATGCTGATATTTTCCTCCAGATTGATCATAGGCATGTTAGTGCCGTCCAATGACGTTTTCGCACTGGTCTCATTGCCGTAAAGCGTTATCGATTCATCTCCAGCGATCTTACCTGTTGACATCGATTCTATTATCTGTGGCTGATCTAAAACTTGTTGATTAATAATAGTGACAGGTACTGTCGTATCAAATTTGGGCACAGTTTTTAATTCTTTGCTAATTTTGCTATTTTTCCCTTGCGGTAGCACTTGGTTAACGAAATTGTTTGCTTCTTCCACTACAACAGGCTGTGTTGCGGCTATCGGTTTCTGTGCTACATTTACCGTTTTTAAATACACAGTTTCCACAGTTTCCTTAATTTTATTTGAATCTTTCGGAGCGATCGGAATAAAACGCGAAGAACTCGATTTAATGGTTGACGAACGATTTATCAAAAGATTATTTACTTCTTCTTTCGAGCATAGTATTAATGTTGGCATAGTCATGATTTCTTGTTCCGTTATAGGCTGACTGTTACTGATCGCTTGATCACGTTTAGGTTTCGTAGCTCTTGGTCGCTTCACTGTTGGTTTCCTAACCTTCGACTGTACGGTGTTACTTGTCGATGGCATAATATCGTTTGGTTTTTGAACTGATGCTAAAGATATGTCATCTTTATCTAAGGTAGATACCATCGTTTGGATTTTTTGTCCACTGTTGTCGTTTGTGACTACTGATTCTTTTGGATCATGAAAAGTTCTTTTATCAGTTTCAGGTGCGTTATTAATAATATTGGCATTAATAATGCTTAATATCGCGGCTGCATTTTGATCTTCCAAAGCGCTGTGCTCTTTTTCTTGATCTCTCACTTTGTCAACTTCGTCTTCAATTCGATTACATTGTTGTCTAGAAGAACTGCGAAGCCTGTGTTTCAAAGGCACATCCACTGTGTCGTTTTCTACAGGTGCTCTCACATCGGTTATCATTGGCTCTGGTGAATTAATATTGCTCAAAACTGGTTCTCCTTGTTGTTCTTGCGGTCTGAAAACGTTCCAATATTTTAACAATTTGTAACAAGTTATAAAAATATACAATATATATACATACTCATTAACAGATTTTGGACTTAGTTTTCCTTCACCATCTTCCTCCGGACTTGTATCAGTCTCTGTGTGCGGTCCGATGATTTCATCGAGAAACTTTTCAAATACAGGATCGGCTTCTGTTGCTTCTACAATTGACTTAATAGCACTATTTAACTCGGCCATAATGGAAGTATTTCCTTCTACTGAATCATTCAAGTTCTCATCCTTGAGAGATATGTCTGTAGGAATGATTGCTTTGTTGATATTCTCCGCAATACATTCTTGTAAGTCTGTACGATTTAAGATTTCTTTTGTTAATATCTGAAAATACATACGGACACTTAATAATATATCACTTGTTTTTATGAGTAATTTGAAAAATAGATTTTTATAAATTGCAATATATATAAACAGTGTAAACATATAAAGAACATAAATTTATATCATTTAGAAGCTTACACTGAGATTTTCAATAGGCTCGTCGTTCGACTCGGACTCTGATTCGTGTATTTCATAAGGAATAGTTTGAACTTCTGTGCTGGAAAAACTCAACAATTCTTCTGTACTTGTAGCTGTGGTATATCGTTTAGGTGTTATGTTAGCTGTGCTGCTTTCTTCCTTTTTTTTATCGTCAATATCCATTTCACAATTTCTTATACTTGAGATATCATCTATAAAAAAAACAGAAAGATGAATCAATTTTGTGATTGATTTATATATGCAATTAATTAATTATTATTATAATTACCTGAACTTATCCGAATATTATTTCTGTTGCATACAATATTTTCACTGTTATTTTTATCAAAATCACATTGTTTATGAGATTCATGTGAAACATTTTCATCTCTTTTCTCGACTATACTACATTCTGCCTGTTGTAATGAATGAATATTTCCAGGCAGACTCTCTAATGGAGTTGTATCGATATTGTGGCTACTTGCTGTTATATTAAAATATCATAATTAAAATTTTAAGTTAAACATCACAAGTAAAAATATAGGAAAAAACAAATGAACATACGCGGACTCATTATAATATCCGATTGTTGTATAGCATTTGATTGGGATTTAATAATGCGTTTAATCCGTTCACTGTTACTATGACGTCTTTTACGCACATTACATGTGATGGTAGGTGAACCATTTGATGTTTGTGTGTTACTCTATAAAATGTGAAACATGTTATTTTATATAATTTAACCCATGCTCAATCTATAATGTGTATGCATATATATATATATATATATATATATATATATATATATATATATATACATTGTACATTGAAAGCTATCCATTAAGTTTAAATAATATCAATTATATTGAATATGAAAAATTCTACCATGTTTGGAATATTGTAAAAAAATTTATCAGGCTAATGATGAATCACCTGTGAGGGTACATTTATATTTACAACAAATCGTTGGCCACGTGGCTCTTCTACAAGAAACTTGAGTTGTTCTATTAGATCTCCACAATGCTTCAATTGTTCACAGTCCGTGATTTTATTCAATCGCTCTTGAACTGCAAGAAATATTATGTATTTAATCAAGATCTATAAAATATATTTGGATATATTTGGATTCTGTGATTAAATCTACTAATCTTTCTTATTTGTTATCATAGAAAAGTTAATTGACTAATTTAACTAATTGATAGCAACTTACTCATAGCGTTAATGGCAGACAATTTTTCAATAACATCTATCAAAGTTAAACCATTGACTCGAGTGCTAAATCTCCTTCCATGAGAAAGTACAGTACGACATTCTTGTAAATGAGGAGATGTTTCCAAAAATAACTTAGCTGCATCAGTACATTTCTGATCTTCTAAATAACCTAAAATCACAAAATATGTAACTATAAAATAAATTTCTAATTTAATCATTCTAATAACTGAATTGATATGATCAAAGTAAAAATAAGGCCAACACAAAAATAAAATACATAAAAATATTCTTATACATTAAATGACAAAAGATTTGTTCTCTTTTTTTTTATTATACTTTATACTTTAGTTATGTTCTTTAACTTTCTTCAAAAACAAAAATTCAAGGAAACGCATTTAGTGAAAGTTTACTAAAAAAAACTTTCATTAATTTAGACTTAATAAAGTAAATCAATATTACATTTAAAAAAAAGATAGTTAATTATTTATTGTTTATCAATAATACTTTATTATTATTATTATTTGTTAGCTTTCACTAGATACAAGGAGTAAATAGATGATGTAAACAAAAAATTTAATCATAAGGAAAAATATATTCTTTCGGTAAATATAACAATTTATGTTAATCATTCATTATGACATATTATTGACAAAGAAATGGCAAAGTTTTGATCACAAAGCTTTGGAAGAATGAGTGTGGCATTCCCGCGAAAAAGGTTACAATCAGTGTTTCAGCTTCAAAAATAAAAGTGGACTTACCAAGGACTAATCGAGCTATTTCAGACGGCAATAAAGCTTCCATAGCTGCCTCGTAATTCCGACAAAACTTTATCGAATTATTTGCACGTTTCACATTGAGATAAACAACGGACGCTTTGGATGCATCTACTACGTCTCAACAGTCGTAACAAATGGCAAACATTTGTAATGCATTGCTACCAACGTGCTCTGTTTTCGTTTTCTCAAATTCAGTTTTGACAGATTTGACAAAAAATAGGTTCGTTCTTCTTTGTTTCAGCATAATTGTACGTAATGAGACGAATCTATTGTAACGTTATCACAATTATTGCTTATTTATCAATTACATATATGTGCCAAATGTCGTGAAATATTTTTTTATTATGCTTTATCAGAGATTTATATTATGCAGAAGTGTTTTACGAGATTAAATAGAAATATAAAAAAATCAATGATGCTCGAAACTCAAAAAGAATATCTCTAATTTTTGAACTTGCACAATTCGCGGTTGATTCGCGGTTATGTTTTAATTTTGTACTAAAGATAGGAATTCGCGTAGCTTAAAAAATATTCGTTTATTTGCGGCCTCTTGGCGGACAAAATAAGAAACACTAACAAATATACACGGATGATAACCACAGAAAAAACTATAATATTCGGACTAGTAGTTTTGCTTACTAAATACTTTATATAGTTTATGATAACACAGCTGACATAAACAGGAATCAGAAACTAACCTCGAATATTTCTATAAAGTGTTTCTTGATATTACAAGTTTTTTTTAAACATCTATTTGAGGTATACCCTATACTATAATTTTTGCAAGTTCTGTGTACATATGATAACATATCTGAGCTATGCTGTCATGTTTTCTAATTATTATTGTAACTTAGATTTGGATAACGTCATAGCATGAAAAGTTTTTACTTTTCCATTCAATATTATATCATATAATTTTTTATAATTATGACTTTAATAATACTTAAAAAAAGGTATTTGTGAAAATGCTGCTTATTTGTAAAATTATAGCACATAATATTGATTGGTATAAATATTTCTTAATATTATTTTGCTTGCACAATTAAAACAAGTTTAAATAAAAAATGTTACGATAGAGTTAGATAAATGTGAAGAATTATTAACTAGTTTTGATTGTCTTGTGATAATTAAATTAATAGCAAATTATAACAGCTGCATTTATAAATAATTATTAAAAACAAGTGTCTTTAAGCACAATATTTTATGTTGTTGAAGGTACTCAAAAGATGGGTTGGGGATTAGAAGTAGCTAAGATGTTTCTGTATATATCATTTCCTGTGGGGATATTTCACTATGTTAATCAGCCAGACTACTTTGAAAAATGGGTGGTAAAAACGAAGGAAGAATATTTTCCACCTGTAAGTAGACAAGCAACTCTGGAATTGGAAAACTTTATTCATGAGTTCAATACTAACATTGAAAGGCAACGTTTGGAAGAGATGGAATTGCAGCATAAAAATAAGTAGTGAAGAAAAGATGTGATACTTTTAATCATATTGTAAGAATAATATATATCTTATATAATACAATTAGTAGTAAAAAATAAAAATGATAATGATTTTTTAATTGACTGATATTTTGTTATATTTAGGAAAGACTTTCCAAGGTTTAAAAATAATTTAAAAAATCTTTACTCATCACTTTCAAGCTCTTATTTTCTTGTTTATTTTTTTTTTTTTTTTTTAATTAATATACTTTTAGAATATTTGATGTAACATACTTTTCACTAAAATAATACAAAAAAAATTTTAAATATGTAAAAATATTTTAAATATATGTAAACAGGATGTATTTATATAATATTTTATAAAAAATATATAATTAGTTGATATTATTTTTGTTTTTGAGTTATGTTCTTATTTTTTATAATATCAGAGAGAAACCTGATACCTTATCTATACCATCCCGGAAAATGGATGTGGCCATGTAGTTCCAGGCAGGCTGTAAAATGGATGTACGCGCCGCTAGTGTACGGCCTAGTAAAAGCGTCGTGCAAAAAACGGCAGCGTGGCCCCTCTCAGGTTTCTCTCTGATAATGCTCTATCTACATCGAAGGATGATCCTGCTTGTGGCTTATCCGAGCGAGTAATGTAGACGAATTGAAAATCACACTGAAGGCGAAAGTGGTCGGATGAGCCACAAGCAGGATCATCCTTCGGTGTAGATAGGACATAATATAATATTTTACAATTAATAGAATTAATCTAGGTCCAGCGTAAAATTAACAGTTATGGAGTAATAATATTTTACATTTTGGAGTATAATATTTTACATTTTGTAATAAGTATATTTTACCGTTTAATGATAATTTATAGAGTTTGTTACAAAGGTTTAAAAAGAGAGTAAGAATAAATCTAGGTGGCGTTTAACGATTACAGGTTACTAAAGCAGCGGAGTATGATACCTCCCATTCTTCCCTTCGACAAAGGTTTCCTTACTAGTAACATCTCCAATTAACCCGCATGTCATTTTCAATGATCGAAGTGCGCTGCTAATATAAACAAAATGGTTTAAAAGCATTTAAGGTTTCGAAAACACGCCCGTTGTTTTATTGCTGCACCGAGCGTTCGTCGTCATGTGGAAGTGCCACAAATGCGGAAAACCCGTTTACTTCGGTGAGTTTTAGCAATTCGTAGTCTTCGAAGCAAAGTGTTCATTTTGACAAGTATCACGTCGTTGGCAAGTTGGAGCTAAGCAATTAATTTACTTTGCTACGGGATATTGTATGCATCGTAAAGTATCGTTTAATTATGTCTTATATTGGATTTAAATTTATTAAAAGATTCAAATTTTTTATTGTGTATTACTTTATTCACAGTACCATTCAGAATTGTTGCGTATTATGCATCATTGTACAATAACAGATAGAATTATGTTGTTAATTTTATCATTTTGAAAAAAGTATAGACACAAATGTGAATAATTAATATATTTGAACAAACGTATTCATTTTTAGCTGAGCGTAAACAGTCTCTGGGTTATGATTGGCATCCGGAATGTCTACGATGTGAAGAATGTGGCAAACGATTAAATCCTGGGCAACATGCAGAGGTAATGCAAGCAAACTAATTTTTATTCTTTTATTTTATAGATGAATGTTACAGATCACATAATAGATTGCAATCATAAAATGTATGTTCTTTATTATAATCAGCACAAAGGTGTGCCTTATTGCCATGTTCCCTGTTATGGAGCACTGTTTGGACCCCAACTATTCGGTCATGGTACGAGAGTGGAGTCACATACAAGTTTTGGAAAAAAGGAAAGTCGACCATCATTACCAAGGTAAGCATCATTACCAAGTATGTACAGAAGTGTCCTGCAAATAATTTAATAGACCATGAGTTTTTTATCTTTTGTATTGAAACTATTTAATTGTATAGTAACTTATTTATTTTGATATAAATCTGATAGAAATCTCAAAATCTAAAATTTATAAAAAATTAATTTTATTGTATATAAAGATAAACTTTATTATTCAGATAATTATTTAAATAATTTTCTAAAAAGAAATATTTTTCCCAGGTCTCACTTAGAATCGAAGCTGAAAGTTTTTAACCAATATTACGAAGGCAAAAGTGGAGGGATTCGAAGTCGTGAGGTGAAAAGATTTCTTAAAACATTTACATTTTTATTATTGTAAAGCACAATCTAAATCTTTTTTATAAATAAATAATTTGAAACAGGTCAATGGAAGATTGATATTAGAAGGTGCACTAAGAATTTATTGGGGAGTTCGTGGTGTGATTCATTTAAAGGAAGATGACGATCAACGCACAGTAGTTACTGCACGAAATAGAAATTCATGTAGACACAGCGTTTCTGAGGTTTGTCATTTATATATATTTCACATCTTGACACATATAATAATAGCGTGTGCATTTATTGCCTTTGATTGCAATAGGATATTGAGGACGAGGATAAAGAGGATGAACTGTCTCAAAGCACAACAGATAGCAGTGCAGAGAATAACGTAAAATCGGTTCCAACGTCTCCAGATCACTTAAAGAGTCTCACTTTACCTATGAAGCTGGATGTCAAAAACATGGAATGGGATGAGCTAGACGAACTCTTACAGGTTTTACTTTTGACATATTTAATGCCGGTTTGTAAAACAGGTGTAAATTCAGGAATATAATTGTAGGTCGAACGAAAAGTCGAGGATGGCAATAAATTGTACCAGACGATGCCCGAGAATCTTCCGTCGATAAGTTCGCAATCCAGCGTGGATACGCCACCGCTCTCGTCGCAATCAAGTCTCGATCGATCAGACTCCCGCGAGAACTCGGAAACGAGCAGTCCTAATCACCAGACTACTAGCCGAGATAACGATAGCAGCGTGAACAGCACACCGACGCACAGCTTAGGTAGTTCTTCCAGTACAGACACGCCCGTCTGTAATTCTTCTAATCGAAATGGTACGCTTCGAAGAGTAGAGTACTTTGACAGCTTGGACAAGAACGCCTCGAGTAATAGATCGATCAGCACCGACGACAGTTGGATCGAGAAGGGTCTGAATCGTTCGTTGTCTGGTCCAGACTGTCTACAGAGACACAGAACTGACAGCGATACGGATTCGGTGAATTCTTTGCAGTTTAGAGAAGATGATAATATGACTATGTCTACAGACAGCGGATTAGAGGTAAGTACATCGCCAGAATATTTATTCAATCAAAGATTCCTTTTTTTTTTTTAAGGTTGTATTTCAATTTATTTTGATTACAGTTGGATGGCGTCGTTCTGCGTCGTAAGCAAGGCTCCACCGCGATCAGACGACGTCCAGGCGGCAGGCGTCAATCGCGAAACCGATTGCGACGTCGTTGCTCGATCAACGGTCATTTTTACAATCGGGAGACCAGTTTTTTCACACCGCCTCATGGTTCACAGATGTCCGTCTGGGTGACGAGTCTAGTAAACACCCAGGAAGTCATCAATCTTATGCTAGACAAATACAAAGTCGATGCTAAATCCGATAACTTTGCATTGTTTGTTGTACGCGACAATGGTGGTAAGAGAATTGTGATTCTATGCATAAATTTGAAATTATCTTACACGTAATTATATTTTCCCCTAGGATACCATGCCCTGTATTATTTCCAGAACAAAGAAGATTGAGGGAAGACGAGTATCCCTTGGAAGTAAGAGTAGTCTTGGGTCCACATGAAAACGTTGCGCGATTGTTTCTGGTTGACAAGTTGTCCACGCCCGAAATCAGCTCCGACGTTGCGCAGTTTCTCAATCTGTCCCTAGCGGAATGCCACGGCATATTGCAACGCTATCACTACGAAGAGGAACGTCAAATTCTCCTTTTGAAAGAAAAGTGAGTGCATAAACAAGCAATGCATAAATGAAAATTGTAATATGAATTTGTTGTTTCAGATACAAAGAGATGCGAAGAAGAATAAAGCAGAGAATGGAGGAGCTAAAAGTCCGATTATAGGTAGAATGATAAATGGACGTACCCATTGATATCCACACGGTGGATTATTTTTATACGCTTAAGATACTTTTTGGTGCAAAATATTTGCGCGACTCGAATCTACAATACCACGACGTATGGATATGTACTACAGTAACATGACACAATTTATGACAAGGCATTTCTGAAATCTATAATATCATACGATATACATTTGCATTTTAAGCTTTATTTGTAGCTTAACACTTCGTTGTTACTTTTTTTTTTTAAGTCTGTTGCATTTATCTATATGTCTTATATGTACGTATATAATTTATATGTACGATAGCAATAGTAACTAGTACGAATTGGACAAAGGGATCGAATCTCTAGTGATTCTATATGAAAGTTTTGCTTATCAAGTCGATGATAATATTATGTGATAGACGTAACATGAAACATGTTATTTTTTAGTTTCGATACAGTTTTTTGAGCGTTTAAAATTAACGAAAAAAATGCAGAAATATTTTTTTTTATAGTATAGGCGATTGAAAATTCGAACAATGTTCATATAAAGTAGTTATTGCTTATAAAATTATAATGATAAAGAATTATTCAATGTTTCTCTGCGCGAAACGATATTTATAATTACGTAAAACTCGTACTTTCACGATGAATAGAATATTGTGTTTTATCGTAATTTTTCAGCATTCCGCTATCTCGATGAAGTGATAAAACGCGATGAAAACATATTTTTCTATCGGTTTTTAAAGGAGATCCGTTTATCGAATGAAATGTCATTTTTATCGAAAAAAAAAATCGATGATAATAACTGTTAAGAATTCAAAGTCTTCTATCCTTTGCATGTCTACGTGGCTCGGATATAACTAATATACATGTTATATTATACATTTTCCATGCATTATTGTTGTCAGATACTCTGATATCGCAATACGAGACTATTGTTATGTGAAACAAATTGCAGGGCGCAAAACAAAATGTCGCATGTAGCAATTAATCGTCGGAACATTGTAACGCGCCGCGGATTCATAGAATCGCCGTTTCAAGCTAGTCATGTTTCACGTTTAGTCACTGATATCCGATTGTATCCATCCCATTTTCAACTGGAGGCCAAAAGTAACACACGCTGAGCCACGTGTACGTACATTATATGAAATGTATATGCTCTCGATCTGCCAGTTTAGAACAATAAATAATAAAAACGCCACGGCGCGTAATGAAGATATATAATAATAACAACATTTATGGTGCATTTACAAAGATGTGCTACAAGATATAATAATCTCTAGATTGTAGGCAGCTTTTGCTAGAGTAAACAAATCGCTAGTAAGAAAAATGTAATCTTTATGTAATGTATCATTTAATAGAATAGATCACATTATTGCGACGCTAGAATAAGTTCGTCAGTTCGCGCCAATTAATCGTTTTCTACTGCTGATAGATGGATAGATATATGTAGGCGTACATATTTTTCCGTACGCCGATAATAGCTAGCTGAAAATACTCTATAACCATGACATAGTCTGGAACTCTGGAAAAATAACAAATTACTAAAAATAAATATCTGAGTATTAAATATTGTAAAAAAAAGTCGATTGAATTGAAATGAATCATGTAATATCGTTGACAGAATAATAAAGAGATATGGTTTCTTCTTCTAGACACGTTTCTTCGTTCCATTTCCTCGCCTGGAAACAAAAAGATTAGCGAAAAGATTCACGCGATAGATCTCTCTAACTTTCTTGAAGCGCACGCGATAATTAACAACCGCATTAACCGTCATTTAAGTAGTCGATTATTTTTATAAGAAAATACAGATTTACCTTCTTCGGAATAAATTCTTCCTCCAATAAGAATAGTCGTAGCGGAAGATGAATGAACGGGGGGAGGAACAGACATAAGCATAGGTAGGTGAGATTGGACAGAATGTATTTATTTATCTTTAAAGTGTACGTAGAGTAAAGTAGATCAATGCAATTGTTATGAGTAGTATCGAATAGTAATTGTCATACGAGTTGCTAGGAACGAGTATGCATACCCACAACACCGAGGAGCTTCAGCCGCTCATTTTTTTTCTTATTTTTTTTTGCACGACACTGATATACATTAAACGTTACACGATAGCAATAACGATTATCACCGCGCCAGACGTTCCATCATCATCGTTATCATCATTGACGTTATCATAGTTACCTTACAGCCACAACTTTATTACACGACTTACAATCTTTCCGGCGTCGCGACGGACGCCGGATTCAACAACAACGTACTACATACACGCAGACGCTCGCACCCGCAGATTAAAAATATCACAAAAACGCGACGCGTAATTACATAACTAACGTAGTCCCGTTGAGATTTTATAGAAATAATTGATTCGCGCTTGAATCGTTCGCCGAGACCAAATCTACAGGCATTTTCATTCGACTTTTGCGAATATTGAATATATAAATCGAGCTTTTATGCATATCCGGCGGAAGTTACGAATTTATAACGATCGGTTGTTCGACAGTGGTGCGGTTATTGTGATTGTTCGGCTTGTATTGAACATTGTGCAGTTCGTAAAATTTTCACACGGGCATCGAGAGCGTGCCAATCTAACACGATTTCGTTTTAAACGCGTTATTTATTAAACACTCTCTTTACGAATATCCGGCATGATTGCGCGTCCAATGTCGTAAAAAATTCCCGTTTTATATACAGCCGGAATAAAACTTGCAGTTTTACATAAGGCAGGTCGATGGTTAGATTGCACGATTAATGATTGGCGAACACGAAACTCGTGTGGAGACTTACGATTTTTTTTTCAAGACTTTTGCGGTCAAATAACTTTACATAATTCAATATGATTTTTATCAACAGCTATATTGTATCGATGTGTTAGAACATTTGAATAAGCGTTCGGCAAGGATAAACATTTCGCGATATAAATACAGAATTTATAAGTGTTTAGTCGGTTATATTCTTGTAATTTATCGTAATTTGTAAAATTAAATTGTTTTGATACGTCACATTCATTTGAGTCTCAACAATTTCTAAAATGATCATCACGGCACTGGATAAAGATGAATAAAAGCTCGAATTAGTTGATGTTCAAATCAATATTCTAATCAATGTTCTTTCTACATTTTTCCGAAACTCTCGGCGAAGATTCACTTCGATCAGATAACAATGATTAATCAAGACAACGTGCGAGCAATATTCTGCCGACAGAGTTCTTCGACAGCTTTAACGAACAAATCAGAATACAAGGCAGCATTCGTCTCTTTCGAGACTGTCCTAACACGGTACGTTTATTATTTTTTTCCAAGGCGAAATGAAATCCTTTCATAACTCTATGCTTCCCCATATAAAAAGTATCACTTCATACACATCTATCAATGTAATTTTTCTAGTACACTTAAAAATTAAATTTTTCGATATTTTTTAAAAAGGAACAGCAACACAGTTCGAAGTATAAATCTAAAGTATTTCGCTATACTTTTATTGTATAGCAAGAACGTTTTTTTTTTTTTTTTTTTTTTGGCATGAGTCAAGAAGCAATTAAAAATCCTCTGAATTAGCATATTGGAGTTAAAGAATGCATCCTCCTCGCACAGTTAAAACAGTAACCGTAACAGTAAAAGCCTCATTCACTCTGCTTCGGAAGAGAAATAAAGGATGGTCCGCCGAATCGCACTCGATTAAATCCGTTTCGCGCCGTTCAACGTCAGGTACGCCGGTCCATCGTCCATTCTCGAGACGACACCGCGAACTCAATTATCACAATCTGCGTGGCGTACATGAGCCTTACAAAAAATACAATACTTGTGCGCTCGCGACTTTGTATGTATATCACAGACGACCGGCGCACCGTTGTAGCGCTTCGTCGCGCTAATCGCGCACCGTCACCACTTGCATCTCGTCTCGCCGCGCGATTTCCACACTTTCTATACGCGTGGAAAATGCTCTGCGGAGAATAAAAGCAGAACTAAAGGGGGCACACAACAAACTGTGCGCGGGACGAATATGGAACTGGGACGACGAAAGTTCGATTTGGCGGTCTCTCGCACAAAAACACCCCCACTTATAAACTACTATTAAAATTCGAGTCGCAAAGTTTCAAAGTGCCAAGTTAGAAAATGTTGGTCACACCAATATGTGGAACAATACATCCTGCGGCTTCTAAAAAGCGGAAAGAGAATGAATCAAAATTATCGATCTTGAGACAGATCTTTTTTCATAAGAAAGCAAATTCGACTGATACGAAGCGACAGTTAGAACTTAGAATTTGTGGATTATAAATTCTAGTTTTATATATAGAGCTAAGATCAAGAACTGTCACATCAAGATGTAAAATTGCATTTAGTTTTACAAAAAGGAAATATTTTTTTTTTTTTTGGCACATTTGAGACTCCTCGGCTTTACAATCGATCGAAGATAATGAATATTAATTTATAATTGTATTCCGCAATACGATTTTATCTATATAAGAATCGAGCTGCTAACACCTGGGAAAGACATAGAACTCGTTGTACGTGACGATGTATGTAAATGTGTTCAAAAGGGAAGCAAATGGAAATGGAAAGTACAAGAGATTCTATTCTGATCGAATACATTATTCGCGCTTAAGTATTCGATGTGCTTTTTTTCATCTTCCATTCGTACGCATTTTTCGCTCTCATCCCCGTTCCACAATCTTTCAATACCTTTCTCTCTTTCCTCTTTTTCTCTCCATCTTTCTCTCGCCTCTCGCTTTTTTCATTCTTGTCTGCGTCTATCATCCCCCTCCCCTCTCTTTCTCTCTCTCTTTCTTTCTCTCTCTCTTTCTATCTCTCTCTCCCCCTCTCTCTCTCTCTCTCTCTTCTTCTCTCTCTTCTTCTCTCTCTCTCTCTCCCTCCTCTCTCTCTCTCTCTCTCTCTCTCTCTCTTTCTCTCTGTCATTCATCCCCATTCATCCTCGCGCTCTCTCGCTCGCGCTCAACAATAACAATTGAATATGAATTAGAAAAATAACATTATATCGTAGACAACAATTGGTTACAATGTATATAATATATACCGGTAATAGTGGTGTGCTTATTTCACACAATACTTTTATATTCCCCGTTAGTTAAAGCGTACCAATGACGTGGGGCGCCGCGCTAAATAATGGCTCGTAAAACACTATAATTAATTCGTCGTTTCGTTAGTCGTTCGTTTAACTTGGTCGATCGATCGTCGATCACGGATCGGCGCTCGCGATCGATAGGATCGGATTCGAAGTGGGAGATTCGCACTTTTGTACCAACGCCTGTTTATAACATACGTAATATATATATCGAACGCGCTTCGAGAACGTGGCTGCGTGATTCATGTTTCGCGATTGCAAGCAATACCATGATCGATTTTTAAATGTCAGCTTCATGTCCATTCCATTTCCAGCATGGTACCATGCGCAAAAACGTTGCAACAAGATTGACGAAACGGTATCTCGCATTTTTTTTTTATTCATTATTATTATATAAATATAAAATTCACCCGAACAAATTTTGTAAGATCAGCCACTCCTGGCTGCAGAGATTATTTCAAAAGTCATTTCACATGTGAATCTCAAATATCGTGGCTATCTAAAAGAATTAATAATAAAATATGATAACAATGTCTTTTATAATTTTTTATAAAGTAATAACAGTAGATAACAATGGATAACAATAATAATGACAAAATTCATTTCTTTTTTTAAGATCTAATAACAAGTTTCTTCTCCACAGTGATCCTTTTTCCTCGCCCTTTATTTTGTAACATTATCATTATGAACTTGCTCGTTTAAATCGCGATATGATTGTAAATCCTGTTACAACGACAGCGCGCGCTAAAGATTCGCGAGACATTGTTTTCACGCGTTACTCCAAGTTCTCTTAATTAATTAGTTAGTTAGCCGAAGAGCCAGAGGGTCGCGGACGCGCTCTTCGCTTTTGCACGACAGCGCCCAGCGTCAATGGAAAATTCGTGGACAGATTTCGAGACGGCATACGATATTAACTCTTGTGACTTCCTCTGTATCTTATTCCCTCTTCTCCCTCTCGTTCACCCCATCTCTCGTTTCCTTTCTCTCTTATCTCGACCGCATAAACGCGTCATTCCGCCATCTGCCATTTACAAGTGTGTTCGTTTAATAAGCTAACACGTACTAGCTACAGTAAATCCTAATTACGGCTTGTACGACAGACATGTATATATATATATAATATATATATAATATTTGTGTGTGTCGCGCGCGTAATATTATATATATAGAATATTTGTGTATGTATATATATGTAATATATAATATTCATATATTACAGTTAGATTGCTCATTGTCAATTCATCGGTTTATCACATTTAGTACAAGTTGAAAAATATCTCTAACATCCACGCGCGGCGACGCGGACCCACCCCTTCGCGCGGGTTTTTCGCGCGCGCTGACGCGCGTCCGTAACGCCGCTTTGTATAATAGTTATCGTTAATTATGTGCTAGTTATTAAATTACAATTAATTATCTAACGATAGGTACGACAAACAATTATGATAGTACGGCCACGGACTTATTAATTCTTCTCGCGACGGCAAAGTGATTGCAAAATCGACTTTCGTTAAAGTTAAACGCGGAATTCAATATGTCGCAGAACCTTTTCTTTATCGACGACGTTTCCGGGGGAACATACACGCGGATGGACCGTACGATGCTTATGTCACCAACGACAGAAAGTTCGCGGATGTTTTTAAGATTTCCAAATCGTCTACAGTGACATAAAGAAAATAGAGACATAACATAATTTCGCGCGATAGAATTTTTTCACAAGCTTGTTCATCTATGATTTTTATTTAAATTCTTTATTTTAACGTAAAATGTGAAAAAAACTCAAGCTGAATTAAGATCCGAAATTATGAATTTTTAACAATAAAATAAAAAGGAAAAATATATATTTATATTAAAAGTCAATATATATATAATCTATAATAATTTTTGTAACAAGTAGGTCGCCTACGCCTCTGATTAACTGATCGACGTTAAATGGACCGGCATATGTTTAAAGAGGAAGTAACAGCGCTTTTATCAGTCATATAATTGCCGGAGCAGCGATTCGGTGAGTAGATTTAGCGACGACTAATTCTGCTAAAAACAATAAGCACAATCATTGAATGTATTCAGGGACCGCCTTTTGTCTTTCAGATTTGACTCCTTCTTCAATCAATCACGCCGATAAGAAAAAAGGTTCCGCGTGTTCTTAGGTTCGCTATTACACAGACCGAGGCTCTAAACGCTTAACTTTTTCGCTTTTATTTTTTTTTATATATTTTTTTCACTTTAAATCTCTTTAGAATAGACACCGAAGACACCGAGAGAGACTCGAAGGAAGTTTCGAAAAAGGAGATAAAGTCCATTCGGCTAATTAGGATCGAAAAGTCTGGCTACTATAACGAGTCGAGCTACTACTTTCTAAGTCACTTTGCGCTCTACACGCGTGTGTAAGACGCTTTCGCGTCTTCATCATGTTTTCTTCGTCTTTCTCTTTTTTTTTGTCTTTTTATAACCTACAAGTAGTCGTTCCGTACGGACGGACCGACGGACACCGAGGATTGAGCAAACTGTTATTGCACGGAACGCGTGAAAATCGAAACACTCCCAAAAATTCCCCCCCCCCCTCCCCTCCCTCTGCATTCTATGAGCTAGCCGTGGATTCGCAAGAGAAGAGCCTGCATTGCCTAATTTCGCGTTTTCTACAATATTTGACATTTTTTTTATTTGCAGAGTTTCGAATGTCTCAGCAAAATCGGGTTTTTTTCAAAACGTCTTGATAAAACTTCAAATAAACCTTTATATTAAATTTTTGTTTGAGCAAAGTACACTTAGAATTGACTGTAAAATGAGATTTCTCTGTCTTTTATATATTTGAAATTTGTTAAAATATTTGGACTTTTCAAATGTTCAATATTAAATGTCTAATCTCTTAAAGGAGCGTAGAAAAGATTTTCAATTTGTTAAAACAATCCGATAGAAAATAGAATTCATAAATTACCGAAAATATTAAAACTGTAAAAATAATGACAGGCAGAAAGTATCAAATATTCCTCTATTTATCGACATCTTTTTAACGATTCTCAAGACGTACGTATAGATGATAGCGCAAGGACGTTTTCTCGCTGCAAAACACGTAAATCATTCATATCGTTACGATAGTCGGGATGTCGATACCTTCCGGCTGACGGGGGCGTTCTCTTCTACAACAGGTACGCGAAAATACGCAATGGAGGATTTTCTAGCGTGAATTGAATCGCTCGCTAGCCGGAGGTCTCTATCGATCAAACATTAACGGCGAGAGACCTTCTTACAGCTTCCTACCTAAATACATTTAGCATATATCCTCGGAACATAGATAAACCATTAAAAACATTGTATATGTTCCTATCTACCTATACACAATATATAGATATAATGTTTGTATATCGTAACCATATTAATATTAATTACATATATACGATTAGAGTAAATAATTAATCCTTATGCGTATATCACATCTGATCGTTCAGTCAGTATAGGAAGACCCTCGCCTCGCCGTCGACACACGCAAACCCGTTTAACATATACGTGCCCTAATGTGTCCCCTTTTCCCCCTCTAACCGCCCTCAATTCACACGTCTCTCTGAGGATTTTGAAATTTGTCGCCTCGCCACACAACCTGTTTTCCATTTTCCTTCTGTTTCTCATTTTTATCTCTCTCTCTCTTTCTCCCCTCCTCACGCGCCGTCTTTCTCGCTCTTCCAGCATTTTTTTAAACTAATATCCGATAGTAACTACTATCTAAACAGACATTTAAGTTTTGGTAAAAACCTGAAATCGCCATCGAATATCAATATAATATACACTTATTATGTACTTATAGTATAAATATAGGAACATTCATTAAATATATTTTCATATATATATAATATTATCGTCATATATATATATTTATATATTTTTATATATATTTTTATATATATATTAGAATCTGCATATATACAAATACATATGTGCGTATATACATATTTGTATATATTTGTATATATATTACTTGGTGTTGTAGCTATAACTTTAAACGTGGTTTAAAATGCCCAATGTATTCCATAACGCCTGAACCGCGGTTAGTCCACCACTTTAGAGGAGTCGACGATTGAATCAAGCGTATCTTTAGACAAACTGAAGAAAAAAACGCGTGAGTCAATAAAATCGTATCGATTATTCTTTCGGAAATAAAATTCGAAGACGCAGGCTCCCTTTTAACGTCGCGTCGGGTCGAACGTCGCGACGCTCACTTTCAGCACACACTTTCTCAACATGTATATAGGCCATAAGAGAGACGGATTGCAACAGTTCACGGTACCTGTCTGTAAATTCATCCGTAAATATAAGTATTACACGTTAGTTAAATTACACAAAATATTGTTTATGGGGCATCCGATCGTCCGACCCCGTGACGTTTTCGGCGATCGAAAGATTCGGTGGTCCGGAGTCCGTTGTTTTTAGAACTTAGAGACATCGATCTATAAATTTCATTCTTCAATTTCTATCAAAAATTAATTTTCCGAAACTCTTAACAAAAATCGCAAATCAATTAAAGCAACTGAAATCGAGGTCATTTTGATAAATTCCGACAGGCCCAAAAATGATCCGTATGTTTATTCGTGACGATTCACATGCAAATTTTTCACGTCCATGCTATTGAAAATTGAGTTCACGGAGATTATATTCTTGAGCTTCGATCCACACACTGCACCCTTCAATCTCTATGAAAGATAGGGTGCATCGACAAGCTACAGCTGCAGAATGCAACCCTCGATTTATACGATCGATGCGTGTAAAGGACAGTCGTGGAAAATAAAAGCTCGCCAGTCTGCACTTTGCATGATGACAAAACCGTGCTAATCTAATTTATCCGGCGGATTTTGGAAATGCATTGAAGATTGAAGAGACAAGATTTTGGATTGCAATAGAAGAGCGAGTCGCAAGATTCAAAATTGTCATGCTGCAATTGCAATCGCGGTGATCTACTGCAATTGTTATTAGAAGAGTGCTTTATAAAATATGCGAAAGATAATTAATCCTAGAAATACCATCCATTACTAAGAATTTTGTCTAAAATTTTTTTTCTTTGAATTAAAATTTGGAAACCGCTGTTTTAAAAAATTTGCTAAAAGACTTTAATTATATAATATTTATATATAAATTATTTAAAAAAAATAAACATCACATATAATTAAAATTCTTCAGAAGTTTCTTTGTTCAAAACTTTTTTGTTAAAAAATAAACAAGTTGAGAGAAAAATTGGTATTCCTAGGACTAATTCGAAACTTTAAGTATGCATCCTGATATCGCGATGCTGATATCGTTGGCCTGAAAATACGAGTCAAAAACTATCGTCGATCGTTTCGCACATGCATGGGGTGCGGCGTGGCGATAAATATATTATTCTACCGCATTCGGTAGGTAGCTATGTTTTACCGGAGTTCGATTGAAAGACGACTGGCTATCACGCGAACTAACGTGCGATACGGAGAGTCGCACACACGCCGTGCGCGTCGCGATTAATTGATTCCCGGAATTCGATGTAAGTTTCAGAGCATGCGAGTGTATAAACGAATCCACGAGACTCGATATTCCCCGCGTATCCGGATAAATGTCGATTTGTCCGATCCTTGGTATGCTTTCCATTCTCTTCCGGTGTGTTCCGGCTCTGATCGTTTAAACCCAATTAAGTTCTGTTAAGGATATTTCTCGATAATAATTGACAAAAGTAGCAGCGAAGCGATGCAATTTCCTACAACTCGAATGACAAAAAACTGATAAAATAAATAAGAATAAAATGAAAAAGTCGAAAATACATAGCCGCACCGTGCGAAGGTCTAAACTTCGAACGGCGAATATAAAACATTGCGTGTTCGATTTTGTGTCAGGATTAAAATCAGCTGCATATCATAGGAAGTATTCTTCGATTCACATTATCCATGACCCATATACACAAGATAGATTAATCGACTTTATCACATACGATTAGCGCCCGTCGAACTCTAACTAATTATACGAGAAGTGACTAGTAGTCTGTACTATACATTAAACGTCTGGCACACATTATTAAAATATCACATCATGTAGTTGTTACTTTAAGGTACCTTCGTATTCCGCGATCACGTCGTTAAAAAAATGTGTACGCTCCTCGTCCCCGATATCGATGTTTATTAAAAATCATATCGGAAGAATTCGATTTTGTATTGACTATCCGAGAATGTGCGTTTCTCCATCGGTTAATTGAACAAAGTGGCGGTAGCTGACCCGGAGTCGTATTACTGTCTACAAAATACAATTAATACGGTAAATAGGAGTAACAACGCATTCCGTTGTAATGTGTTCTGCTGTAAACGAGATTAGATTGTCCGCGTAGTTACTGTTTAGCGTTATTACGCCCGAACGCAAGCACTACATCCGGTGGTGCTTCCGGTGGTTTAATTCGGAACGTACTTTCATTCGTTCCCATCTCCTAAAACGAAGGGACAACCGAATTCGGAAAATAGCAAATGCTTTCAAAATTGCTCTCGCATTCGCGTTGCAGTTATACGATCGCGTTTCCTCGCCTTACCGTAGTATTCGTTCCACTTTGGTGCAGAATAATCGTTTGGCACTGTGACTATTATTCCTATCAAGTCCTATCGCGATTCAAGTCGCGATCGTAGCAGAGATCGTGCGATTTTTTTTTCCAACGGAATTATGAACTCTTAATGCAAACATGAGTAAAATCGCTGAACATTTCCAAGACTGTCAAAATCTAAGAACCGAAGGATGCAAAAATTGGATTCAAGAATTTTAGAAACTCAAGAATCAGACATTGCGCAAAAGTACCGAGCTTGATTCTAAAACACTAAAAATGAATAAAATGACGCATACACGTGTAACAATGTATGACATCAGAAAGAATTTAGTTAACAAAAAGGTGCGTCAATAATTATAAAGTATACCAGAATGAAACTAATACACCAATGTACATAATGATAAAATACTTGAGGTTTTTTCCAAGTCCAAAAATCTCACCTCTGCTTCATAACGATTTGCTGTTTCCCTCGGTTTCTCCGGTAACGACGAATCCGACGTGCATAGTGGAAATGAAACGGCAGTGGGCGGACGTTGGGCACTGGACTAACGATCGGAGCGTCAGGCGTCATGGAACTGTTTTCTTTAATCTTCTAGACTGCGCCCCTCGAACCCGAATGCGCGAGGACCGCATATGTACGTCCGTACTTATTAGGGCGGACGAGTATATGTATATATATATATATGGCGAACCGGCGAGAAGTGGGAAATCAAAACTGTGCGAACGCGAGCGAAACGCTCCCCCGCGCCTCGCCGCGAATTCTCGTTGACATTCGTTGGACACGTTCCTCTTAATAAAACCTCGACACGATGGTCGCACCACCGACCACGGACGACAATATCGACATATTATTTAATCGTTAAATTACATCCTTATCGAGACGGTATAATAATATGGTAATTACGGACTAAATTGGCCTATCGCAGCACCGGGCCGGTCTTGGAGGGAAATTGAATTTTCGCCCGACGGAATAGGTTCTCTTTCTCTCTCACTCTCAATCTCGCTCTCTACCTATTTCTTGCTCTCTCTCTCTCTCTCTCTTTCTCTCTCTCCTCCTCTTTCTCCTCCCTCATATCTAAAGTTCCCTCTTTGGCACGACATTAGCTGGCAATGTAGAGCTTCGCTTTACTCTCTTCTCGTCGCGTTTTGTTTCTTCATATTTTTTGTCTTTCGGGTAGAAGTACCGGCCGGCCGGCATCTGACGATCAACCCTATTCGTTAGATAGCACCTTCGTTATTCAACTTCGTTTCGCGTACTTTCGAGAGTGCGCGAGAGTACACAGAGCAGCACAAGTACACTATATATCACTTAAGGGCTAAGTAAGTGTCCTGACCAAGTGGAGGGATTCGGCCTCGTAAAGTGAGTTCGAGAGTTCGAGTCCTTCGAGTTCGTTTGAGTTTTCTCTAAGAATCGCTATCTCCGTCACTTTCTCTTTCTTTCTCTATCTTTCTCGCCACGGGATCGCACGATCGGACTTGGTTTATGAAGTGGTCGAAAGTTAAAGCTACTTACGAGACCGATCCCGAGAGAATGAGCCGGCCACTCTCGTTCTGCGCTCGCGCATAACTGGACAGCATGTCGTTATTGTATATGTATGTGTGTATGTATATCGCGTATATACACGTGTATAAATATCTAAGAGAGTGGATAGCGACTAAGTGAAGAGGACTTTTGGAAGGACCGAATGTAGACCGTGCAACAAGACGCTACTTCGCGGCTCCCGACGACGAACCTAAATCGCGCTGGTGTCTCTGACATAGACGTACGGGAGAGAACGAAAGATATATATTATTGCTATCCGCATCATCAAGGAAAGGATATATTATTCATTCGTTCATTCTGGGAATTCAAAGGCACCGGCAACGCTTTCCGGGAGGTTCGCCCTCCCGATCGGTGCCAACGTCGAACACGTCGTGAATTTCATCGCCTTTGATATATTCGATAAAACAATTATTCAATGAATGATTTAATCCCTTATAGATTGATAGAATTTCAAAGCAAAATGTCACAGCTGTATCTCATTTCTATTCAAATTTATCTCAGGAATTTTATCGCTGTTATAAAAAATGGGGCAGAATAATACAGATCTCTCCACATTTATTTTTAACTAAATTTAAATATAAATAAAATTGGCGTTCTTTTCCAAGGGGAGAAAAATATAATTTTATCAATAGAAATTTAATTAGTGTTTAAATTTATATCGCGTATGTGTGCGCTACGTAATTTTTACGATACCTTTCAGAATCGATACCTTAACTTTCATCGCGATATAATTATATCGAGTTTCATTCTTTCATTATGTTGAAGGAAAAAAGTAAATTAGTAAAATAGGCCAAAACTTTTAAAAAGTTCTTCATGAATAATCGTTTGCGTGCTTCACCTCGCTTCTGACAGCATAATCAAAGATGTCTAGTGTAGGCGTTGCGAGTCTGTAATAACTTATGTCTTGGTTTCCATAGACATGAACATGCTGTGCACGCGTACACCAATTGTCGAGAGTGTGTTTTTCATGGCAAAAGAGTTCTTCGAGTTGAAGAGTCCTGAGAGTTCTAACCCACTTTTCCAAGAACTTAAGAAGATTAATCCTGTAGTTAAGAATGTCTAATTTAAGAAATTTAATTTATAATTTTAATCAAATTTAATTCAAAATTTAATTTTCTTTATTGCAAGATTAATTTGCCCGAGTTTAAAAGGGAGAGAAATTTCATCATTAGCTAAACTACTCAATTGTACAGGCTGCGAATTATCCTCATAAAAAAGAAAAAAAATTCCATCGACGTGTTCGCGTCTGCACGGAGCTCGCGTAAAGAGAAATTATCGTTATCGTACGCGGCTCATCGCGAATTATATTACATATCGAATACACATCGAGTATATCAAGGTTAGCTATTACGTTAGCTATTACAAATATATCACTTTGTCAGTGGAGCACGAAGACGAAGAAGACAACAAAAGGAAGCCTTTGACCGTCGGCTTTCGCCCGCCGCGTCGTTGCGTTCTTTGGTTTTTCTTTTTTTTCTAATTTTTTTCTTTTGGTTTCCTATCCCTTATCACAAGTTAGTCTCACTATCGTAGCTTAGAAACCATCGTCAGACGTGCTGCTGGTGGATCGTAGTAGTAGCAGTGAGATTGCGCGTAATCGCGTTTTACTACTTCTCTCTCTCTCTCTCTCTCTCTCTGTAATTGACGCGTCTTGTTGGGCCGGCGGCGATGAATGGACGCGGTCCGTTTCTTTCTCTCTTTCTTCACAGTAGGAATTGTTTCACCCGATTTTACCCGACTTGCTTGCACCTCTCGCGAGTAGAACGGTTTTTACTCGGCAACGGACAACCGAGAGCGGAGAGCTATTGATAACTGTCGTGAATCGACAGTTGAGGAATAATCTTGCAACAATTAATGATCAATCGACTACACACAGTCTTACGACGCGATTTTACGAGTCCAAAGTAAGCGGTGGGAATTTTTGTCTTCCGAATAATATTGTTTCATGTACTTTATAGTTTAGTGCGCGAAGAATAGCAATCAATTTGTTTTTTTATTAATACATCGCTAGCGTAATTTTGCAAGATCGATCCTCGAGTCGCGTTCCGCGACAGTCGCAGCTTATCGATGCGAAGCGACGCGCTGGTGAGAAATAGGAGTGTCGTCGCGCTGCTCTCCGGCTTCGAGGATGCCGAGGTGGGTAATAAGCCGAGTTATGCGATCGCGTTAGCGTTGGTGAATGTGCGTGGTGAGATGCTTGGAGAGGTAGTCAGCCCGGGCGAAGCACTTGCCACACATCTCGCAGTGGTAGGGCCGTTCGCCCGTGTGGATACGCAAGTGCCTCGTCAGATCGCTCTTGCCGCCGAAAGCGCGGCCGCAGAACAGGCAGACAAACGGGCGTTCGCCGGTGTGCTTGCGCACATGCAGCTTCAGGTTCTCCTTGGATCTTACGCATTTGCCGCAAAACGGACAGGCGAAACGCCGCTCGCGCCGATCGGCCTCGCGTGTGCTGCTTCGCGCAAGGCTAATTATCGCCTCGTTCGGCTCGTGCCGATCGTCATCGACGACATTGTCGTCCACGTCGCCGGCTTCGCTGCTAGTACCGCCGCCACCGCCGCCGCCACCGACGCCACCAACGGTTCCGGCAGCGGTGGTCTCCGTTATCTGAACCTCCACCGCATCGCCAGGATTCTCCTGGATGCTGGCGGTCTCCGAGACGCTCTCGTCACCGCGGGCGCCCTCGGAGAACACGCCGCGCAACTCCTCGGCGTCGCCCGGATTCGTCGTGGTATCGCTGCCGGTCTCCACTTGGGACGGCTCGCCGGTGCTCGATACCTGATCGCTGCGCTCGGCCGGCGTCGAGACGACGACGACGCTACTCTGCGGCTCGGGCGCGCGTTGAAGCCGCTCAAGCGCGTGATTGAGACGATGCTTCTTAAAGGACTTTAGATACCTGAATTGCATGCCGCACACGTCGCAGGTGAACAGCTTGTCGGCCGGTAGTCGCGCGCGGTGATTCTGCTCGCGGTGCTTCACGTAGGCGGACCGGTAGCGGTAACGCTGGCCACATTGCTCGCACGTGAACGGCTTGTCGTCGCTGGTCTGTCCGGCGTGCTGCAGCAACGCGTGACGCTCCAGCAGCCACGGCGACGGGAACGTCGCCAGGCAGACGCCGCAACGACGCGCCAACCCGGCCAGGCCGGTGAAGCCGCCGTGGCCGAGCATGGTGCCACCGCTACCGCTCGTCCGCTCCACCAGCGCGCCCCATCCACCCGCTTCCAGTCCGAGGGCGAGCGAGACCTGCAACACAAGCAAGAAAATTACGTCGCACCTTACGCAATACGACTCGAATCGAGACGTGAATTTCAATCGGGAATCTGTCTCCAACTGTTTCGATATTTAGTCACATTCAGAGTCTGAAAATTTCAACATTTAAATCATTCAAATGTATCGAATAATTCTACTGATTCGTGCATTTCAAGTAATTCTAATAACTTGCATGATGCAAATAATTTAAAAAAAAAAAAAAAAAGTTTTTAACTGATTTCGAATCTTTCATTCGAGGCACAACTCGATGGCGTGTCGCGGCGAGTGTCTCGAGAATCGTTTCACGCTCGAATAGAGAATTATGAACTATACACTTACCCTTTGTATCGCGCGGACGCGGCTTATGATAGCGATAAACAATCCCTACGGTCGCTCTGGGTTTTACGCGAGATTGGATACACGCCGGGGATTGCGCGCATAGGGTAGGCAAGGACACATATCATCGTACGCACATAACGTATTGTTAACACAAACAGTTTGCAGCTTTTATTTCACAAATTGTTAATTTACAACTATGATATGCATTCGTTCGTCTAAGAACCGAAACAAACCAGTTTTTTTTTACTTTTTTTTTACGCCAAGCCAAATCAATTGTGGCTATCCGCAATGATCGGAACGTTCAGAACGCGTTATCGATGTTGATGGAGTTTTATAGACGAGAGTGGGCTTTTGGAGTGGGTTTTCCTTTGCGCGAGCTTATGCGAGATATCGAATTTTGCCGATTTTCCGAAACGTCTGATCCCTGATACAGCTGAAATGTATACGTGTACACAAGCGTTCGCGCGTATATGCATATAAAAATGCTGTTAAAACGAATCTCACAAATTCAGTACGCATTCGCACACGGCTACGATCTCACGACTTCGATTCAATTTCTCATTCACATTTAATTTGGAATTATTTAAAATCAAATCTTTCGACAATGATCTGCAACACTGATGGTAGAGATTGAAACGTATCGGACGGACGGAAAATATTCTCGGATTATTCATTCAGTTATCGTCTTTTTAGCCACGTCCATCTTATACGCCTCACTGTCTAGTGAACGCTTGTGCGTCACTTGTGAATGAAACATAGCCATGCTCGATTACAATGAGCTCGGGGGCATCGCGATTTTTGACAACACATATTTACCTTTCTTTTCCTCCGACGAGTCGTTCGCGATAGCGACGAGCGCGTCAAATACATTCGCGATATTAGAGTCTGTTAGCACCGTACGACTTTTTATAGCTAATCATTGTTAAATGTATAATTTTTTACTCAAGATAAGTATTTTAAGATAAAAATTTTACTAATTCGGATTAAAGTTTTTAGTAGCAGTTAACTTTGAATTGTTGCATAAAATGAGAAGATAATTAGTGCTAATTTCCTTTTATTGTTAAATAATTATATATTAATATCCTGATTAGTTAAAATTGATTTAAAAAGTAGACTTTACTGTGTGTGATCATGCACTCACTCTTTTAAGCTGAATAATTTAAAAGATACGGCAATAAGTGTAAGGATACATTACTAAAATACATGCGGTACGAACAGACCCGATCATCGCTTATGGCTTAATTACGTATAAAATTAACATCGCGCCGCTCTGATATCGCGAACAGCCCGTAGAAATAAAGAATATCCAAAAAAACGAGACGCATCAGTTGGTTGGTCAGTCGGTCGGTAGGTTTTTTTTATTTCTCCGCAGTAAAGATCGCGCTTCGATAACTCACATACGTGTCCTATCGCAGCCCATAATATCTAAGATCAGCAAGGTCGCACTCGGGAGTTCCGAGTATCACGCGATATCGTACACATACAAGGTGTCCAAAAAATAGAGAAGCGAAAGTGCAACCGGATAAAATATTTCGGTGTGCTCGACGGTCGAGAAAAATCGTCCGAGAGTTTTTAGCAGGAACACTTCGTCAAAGGAAAACAGTTAAAAGAAAAGTTGATTAAACGCGTGTGGAAGTAATTTAACACATTTGATTAACGTGATGTGAACGCTGGCGGCTGAAGAAAATTTAATTCGTAATACTGAAATTTTGTATCGATTATTCTCTCTGTGTGATAGCGTTTCTTTATGTATAATTAAAAAATTTTCGCAATACAGAATATAATGGTGTAATTTACATCATGATGAAAGAAATTAACTTTTTTAATCTAAAATATATAAAATAAAATGAAACTAAAATGGAGAATAATATTAAAACTAAATCGCTAAATGTCTGAGCATTTTGTAACTGAGTTTTTTTTACTGACAATATTAATAAACGACATACATCATACAGTTTGTTCAACTGTCTTGATACGATCGTATTTTTATTTTATCGATATGTTTTCATCGTTCGTTCCTTTTCCTTCGCCTTCAATTGATAATTTTTCGTGTTTCAATTCGAACTGGACAATCTCCGGAGTGCGACGAAGAAAATCTCAAAGTAAACGACCGTGATATTAATACTCGATTGCATCCCTTTTTGTGATACAGAGAATTGAAGATCTTTAGGTTTTCAATTAAACAAGACTTTCAAACGTGATTAAAAATGTCAATGATATTTCTGCGCATGAAAATTTGTTAAATTCTAAAAACTATTTCATTCTGAGCTATGACAAGTGCGAGTTATATTGCTCTTAATTTTCCGCGACGACTCGGCGCATCGGAATATCGAGTTGCCGAATGCATCGCGGAGAGATCGTAACGGCACCATTGGCGTTTGCGTTCCGTTTACAGCTTTCCTCCTGTATCCGCCCTCGCAAAGTCCGATAATCGAATTACTAACGCCGCGAGATAGTTTCGAGAGTCTCGTCGCAAACAAACATTTTCTCGTCGGCGCTCAAATTCCGTCTCTCGCTCGTTCGAAGAACAATGTTTGTTTTTTTTTTTTTTTA